CGACTAGAAGATACCCCTTCTTAGGCAGGCTTACAAATTCTTTGGAATTTTTTTTTTATAATTATTCAATAAATATTAAAATAAAATAAAAGATTTCAACGAATTTTTCATTAATTGTTTAACAACAAATTTTTTAAATTGGTTTTGAAAAATTGTGACTTTTTATCCGAGATCTGCAGCCAGTAATACCTATAATATCCCATAATTTTACTCGAAGAACAGCCACAACGTGATTGGAAAGGAAGGATCGTTCTTCGGCTTCGGTCCCTGAACCATTTATTTATTTATTTATTAAGAATAAATCTGCTAATTGTGGGGAAACACAGGAGAGGAAACAAAGGGAGAAAGGTATATTTCCAGGGGATTATCTTGTACATATCATATCCATTATGCTCCCCTTTTGCCTGAGCCAAATACCCCTCTTGACACCACTTGATACCCCGTACTATAACGGGCAACATTATGGGCAAATAAAAATGTGGCGTTGCCTACTTTCGGGCGGCGTTTTTTATGCCCCACAGACGGGGGCCGGGCAGGCCACATTTTTGCATACTTCCCGGCACTGGCATAAAACTCCAAACTTTTTGTCATAAACACCAGAGAGTGAGAGAGAGGGAGGGAGGAAAGGAAGGCAACACCTGCGACTGCTAAAACGCCGTCGGGCCACAACAAATCAAAAACATGACTACTCTACCAGAGAGGGGAAGGGGGGAAGGGGGATTGGATTGGAGTTATGTCTAGTGAATAAATAAAAGCAATAAGCAGACACCCCAGACAACACAACGGGCGACACAGACGACACAGCCGACAGCCGGCATCGTAAGTAGGTGAGCAGATACTCGTACTCCTCCCCGTCAGAATTTTAAACCAGAGCGAGACAGAGAGAGAGGGGCCAAAAGGGGCTCAGGAATCGACTAAGGAATGCTCTAAAGGACAAGAAAGGGAATGGCGCCTCAATTCAATAAGATTTAAATGATATCTTCGCTTGAAATCAGTTCCAGATCCGGAAACCCGATTGAAACGAAGCCCAACCGAACCGAGGGGCGCTGCCGCATCACAAGACGCCAGCCACGTCATAGATTCCTCTGAGTATCTTTCGCGGAAATCAATCTAAATGTCGTATCTGTTCTACAAAAACAGAAAAGAAGCCCAACCGAGCCGAGGTGCGCTGCCGCATTACGATATACGAGCCACATCATAGATTCCTCTGAGTATCTTTCGCGGAAATCAATCTAAATGTTGTATCTAAACGATGTATCTTACAAACATTCTTTACAGCCAGCAATGAGATCTACCAATTATCTTTTCTGTCTGTGTATACCAAGAACGAACATCTAATGATCTCAAACTCTGAAAACCCCTCACAATTTCGAGTCGTGCCTGGGATTACCTTTATCCCAAAAGAGCGGGAGGCCTAAGGAGCGCGGGAGTGTCTGTCTGTCAGGGGCTGAGTGGATTACAAGCTGGAAACAAGCTAAGGACGCTCCTAAGCAACAACGAAACATAAGATCTATGTACTTTTGTCTGTCTAAATGGGTGGTGGGTCAGGTGGGAGAGCGTTGGGAGCTGGAAAAACAACAGTCGAAATTCCCATGGTGCAAACTTTATTCTATTACGACTTTCAAAAGAAAAGCGGAAATGGAGAGGGAGATGGAAATGGAAATGGAAAGAAGTAACCCAAAACAGGAACAGGAACAGAAGCAGGCGAAAGCGAACAATTGAAAGTTGAATTCCTTGCATCCAGTGGATGGTTGGAGTCCACAGAAAGGAGCCTGCGAATGGAGCCTGCGGTTTTCGTTGTCTGTTTGCCAACTTCCAAGGCAAGGCTGGGAGCAAACCATCCTCCAAAGATGGTTTCGCGGTTTGGTTTGCTCTCTGTTTCCCTTTTGGTGCCATTGCTAAGCCCCAGCGCCGCATTTATGGCATTCGGGATTTGCCGTGTCTTAGGAGTTGTGCGAGAATTAGTTGGGCCCTGGCTGCTGGGGTATTTGGCCATTAAAATGATTTAAATTAGTGCAGAAGAGAGAGAGAGAGAGCCACACAGCGGCGGAGAAGGTGGGGCGGAGGTCACTCCCTCGGGGATTTGCCATCGAGATGCCTTCTGCTTTCACCGAAAGATGGAAACTAATTCCTGGCATGTGAATTCTTAGTATTCATCCTTTAGATATGTTTTTTATTGGATATTTTCTTTCCAGCAGCTCTTACAAGCGTGTATTCTGTTTCTGGATTCTCGTTGGTTCTCGGCAACGAGTGAATTTCGATGGATCAGCTGATATCTAATGCCACAAATGGATATCTTTCAAGAGTAAAGGCTTTAAGGCGTTCGCTTATGGGAAAGTGGTTGTACCTGGAGTCGAATGGGTACCCATTCTTCCCCCAAAAAAGCACTCGCTCTTTATTGTGGCGGTGGGTGGGTGTACCCTCATCAAGAGTTGGCAGTTAATTTTCGACTATTAACTCGATTAGTAGCCTCCACTGTCGTGCCGGAGTGCAATCTCTAAAGGAGGGGATTGCTAATAATTGCCAGAACAATGAGCATGCCGGAAAGATGTGCTAATAGAAAATGCAAACAACATATTAAACAATTAAACGGAAATTAGCACAAAATATTCACACAGACAGGCACACGCATTTGTCCTAATTGGCTGCTCCTTGAGGAGCGCTTGGGAAGCGGATCCGGAATGAAGTGGAGATCCGGGCATCAAGTGGATGTTCATTAATAAACGGATTCAGACAGACAGAAGGACAGGAAGACAGAAGGACAGAAGGACAGAAAGACAGACAGGAAGTGAATTGAAAGTGAACGGAAATGAATGCAGTAGCAAAATATAGATTCAAAAGAGAGAGGGCGACCAAGGACTGCTAATGAAGGCAGGATACCCAGTATCCCGTATCCAGTATCCAGGTAACAAGGAAAACAACTAAAACGGAAACATCATGGACATGGCAGGAGTTGGAGCCGCAAGACAATGGGGGGTAGGGCGAAACTTAAATATGCAAGACATGGCACGAGTGGGCGCCAAATGTGCCACCGCCACCGACGCCACCCTCTTGACGGGGGAGCCAGAGCTCCCCCATTCTTTTGGGGGCGCCGCCAGCTGTGACTGCCATTTCCATGGCCATTCAACATAAACTTGCAACACTTTTACCTCATCATCAAACCAAATGTCTTGAAGTTTTGCTGGGAAATTGATTTTATGCAACGTTTAAAAGAGCCCGGAGTCCCCCCCGCCCCCCTACCTCGACCATGCCAGACACTTTGTATGCTAAACCGCATGAAAAATGGTGCAAGAAAGTAGGAGGTGACATAAATAAAATCCTTGACTATAAATCTAAGGGCATAAGCGGTTAAAGAGTCAGCCAAAAGATGCGGCACGTAGTACGCCTGCTGCCAGGAGTATCCTTTTATCAGGAGTCACACACAGAAATAAATCCTCCGCAAAATGCAGATAAATATGTAAATAGATACAACGCGGATTATGTTTGTTGGACACACACACACAATCCGAAAGAATTGAAAGGGAATTGAATGAAGGAATCCCACAAAGAATTGAAAGGGAATTTGGGTCGAGAAATTAAAGAAAAATAACACTAGCCAATGGCCAAAAAATAAAAACCCCCGGCATCGAACCCATTTTCTATACCCGGTATTTAAAGAGTATTATACTCGATACTCGTTATACCCAACACTCGCTATAATTGATACTCGTTATACCCTAAACTCGTTATACACTTAACTCTTTAAACCCTTAACTCTTTAAACCCGATACTAGTTAAACCCGATACTCTTTAAACCCGATACTCGTTATACCCGATACTCGTTATACCACAAACTGGTAATACCCGCTACTCGTTGTATCCGATACTCGTTATACCAAAAACTGGTTATACCCCTTAACTCTTTAAACCCGATACTAGTTATACCCGATACCCGTTGTACCCGATACTCGTTGTACCCGATACTCGTTATAATACCACAAACTGGTAATACCCGCTACTCGTTGTATCCGATACTCGTTATACCAAAAACTGGATATACCCTTAACTCTTTAAACTCGATACTAGTTATACCCGATACCCGTTGTACCCGATACTCTTGGAGCCCCAAGTTCATCAGCAAAAAGTCGGTTTGGTGATTAATCAGTTGGCATTAAGAGCCTTTTTAGAGTAAAAACAATTACTGATTGCCCGGAGCTGTATTCATAGAGGTAATTCCATGCAAAAACACTCATCCACTTTCCACCTCTCGGATTCGATACCGCACCTGTAGACCAAAGTTTTTATGGCCCACAGCCCCAGTCCCACCGCCCTGCCCTGCCCTGCTCTGTAAAGTGCCATCGACGGCGATGTTTATCATTCGACAATAAAAGCGGATCAAAATCAATCGACAAAAACCAAAGGAAAAACCACGAATCACCCATCTAAACGTAGTCCTGAACGAAGAACAATAGCAGGAAAAATCCCAAGAGAACGAAATAGCAAGAAAAAGTGATGCAAGTGGAGGATTGAGGCGTCAAGATACCCTGTACTCCAGTTTACTTCAGGGATCTATCGAGAGTGGGCCGTCACCGCAGTGACGAGTATACCGTTCTGTACCCAGTGTACCCTGTAGTATTATACAAAAATGGCCTACAAGTGTGTTAGGAAAAGGTAAGAAACCCCCAAACATTTTTATGACCCCGCAAGGGTCACATTAAAACGCATGTTCGACCCCCCCACCCCCTCACAGTACAGCCCGAGAATCCTCTATTGGAATGGGATTGGATTCGCTTCGGTTTGGTTAAAGGCGGAATGGGGATGGTATGGGTGTGTGTTTGGGTTCGGGGATGGGACATCCTTTTTCGCACGGCTTGGCTTTGACTGTAGATGCGACTGGCGGCTCGACTGGCATTTTAATAGACTGTTGACTGTTGACTGTCGACTGTCGACTGCTGACGACACTGTTTGCCGTGTGTCTGGCAAAGAATGGAAGAAAGGAAGGAAAGCTAGTGACCAGGAAGGCTGTTCGAAAGAGTTTAATAGTACCTATATCGAATTATAATGTGATTTTTTTTCAGAATTTAAAATTTCATTGAAAATTTCGAGTATTATTTGAATTGGTTCGTGGGAAATCGTAGTCATTACTTGGTTTTTTGAACGGAAGCGTGTAATTGCTGCTTCCAATACTCCCACATATTTAGGTAAGACAGGTCATTGAAGTTTGGGTTGTCGATCTCGGCATTGAGATCGTCCACCTCGACGCCCGCTGCCGGCCCTGGCTTCTCATCAGTCTCTTCGATTGAAGCTTCAGAATCAAGGGCTCTTTTGGCAAAGGGGTTCAGATCTTGCATTGCCAGACACATCCACACTTCCGGATGCGACAAGTCACAGAAGCTATAGGCCAGCTGTCGATTGGCCCGCGATATGTATTCGGGCAGTTGAGAAATGAGCGCAAAACTCTTCTTGACGCCATCATTGTAGACATTCTTCTCCTGCCAGTCCGTTGGGGCCAACCACTTGACCATGGCGTCGACAGGCACACCAATCGACTTGACCAGGCGTTGGGAGTCCTCCGGAGTGCCCCAAACACCAACGTAATTGGTGAGGTAGACCGTCATTGAGACGGCAGCAGCACGCATCACCACATTTTTGATCATCTTCAACAAACAAAACTAATGAAAGCCAGGAATTAGAACCGAACAGAACAAAAGGATTAAACATGCGAGCGAATGTACCTTTTTTTTTTTGGAGACTCGCAACGAGTACAATCCAGCGAGAACACAGCGAAGTAACGACTGCACGAACGAAGGAAACGGCAAAGAACTGTAAGCGGGAATTTGAGTTACAAAATTTTCACACTCGAGACAGAGAAACCCGGTTCCTTTTTACAACACTTACAGTTTTGAACACTCACCGCCTATCGTTGAAAATATTTCCGAAAAAAAAATCACACTCACAATTCTCAAAAAACCTGCAAAATCTATTTTATTTACTGAAGTGCGTCTCGAACTGAATACTATTTTCAACTGGCAAACAACTTCCACACAATCGACTAAGCTAGTCAGAACTACTACTACGATCCAGAGAAGTGCCAAGTGTTTGGTTTGTAGAAATCCCACATGAAAGTAGGCCAAGAGATGACATTCTGAAATCAAGAATTTCGGCGGTATTGGTAGAACTTCTTTAAGGCCAATCAAGGGTGTATGCTAGGCGGCTGCCAGGCTCGCTAGGGGCCCCTTGTGGCACCGCTGCCCATCGAGGAGTTCTGGCAGTTTGCGATCTTCCTGGGACACAATGTAGGCATCTCTGAAATGTCGTTTAGGAAGGGCATGCCCAGCTTTTATAGCCTTCTTCTGCTGAGAGCTGCGTCTCTGCAGCTACGGCAAAAGTCATTAAATGGGCGACTACTGGTCAATGTCCTGTGCTGCCAAGTTTGCAGAGCTCAGAGCTGCGCTTTTTGCAGAGCTATGCGGCAGTGTGGCTGTAGTTGCAACCAATCAAAGGTGTACAAAAATATTAGCAGTCTCCCGTAGCTCAAGAATCTGTTTAACAGACAAACAACCAATTTAAGAGCCTAATGGCAGAAGTTTTAGGCGGTGAACAGATGTGGAATGCTCCTTCCGCTGGGCGTTTCGATGGTACACTGGCGGATATGGCATGTAGCGGAAAATTCGATCGGATGGAAGTGGAATCAGAGGAGGGACTGGTGTGGGCATATTCTTTGTCCATAGCACCAATCAGCATTTTCGGATGAGCGACATATTCAATATTTCGCTGGTACCCTCCTTAAATATCCTTCCATTTCTCGTGATACGATTTTGGGTTCCCTTAAAGCTTGTTTAACCTTCACTGTGTCTGTCAGAATGTTGTCCATCGGCCTTGTATCTAGAGTCCCTTAAAGTCTGTTGGACCTTTAAAGATGCTTTCACCGTCTTACCGGTTACAAAGTTCTTTTAAACTTTATTCCCGTACCCTTTCTCCGCGCCGGGGATATAGCCCCAGCACTATCTGTGCTGCCCCAAAAAACAAGTGAGTAAAAATCTAATCCATTACTCAAACCAGAAAACTGAAAAAATAATGGTATTGCCCACGAATGGGGAATGGGATGGTTGCAGAGGCGGAGGCGTAAATCTTTTGTAACATTTTTCGGGATGCCCTACAACTCACATTCCACCCATGTGTGTGGTGGGGTCGGGGCACTACGTGAATGGAAATAAAACTGCAATTTGTTCGACCAGTTGAATGTCATTCGGGCGTGGGTCAAAGCCGAGACGAATCTTTCGGTCTGAAGGTGTTTGAAGGAACTTTGACATATCCCCACACACATGGAGGAGCCACCGCAAGGATACTTTCTTTGTTCGTTGGTTTGTTTTTTGCTTTTTTTTTAATTTGCACAACTTTTGACCCAAATTCATTTGTCACACAATGAAGGGGCGGCCAAGCAGCAAAGGGACCTCACGGCCTCACGCCCTGCCAACTTTCTCTATAAATAAATAATAGAGTGGACCAAAGGTGGCAGTCCCCCTTTGTGAGACATAGAGACAGAGAGAAAGAGTCATAAAGTCTGGGATAGATGGCTGCTGGGTTATTCGGTCCATGAAAACGTAATGCTTTCGTTTGGGCTTAAAGGAACGAGTACGCTATCCACAGAGCATGGAGCTCACGCGTGGCTGTTTGCCTAGGAGAAATTTCAAGCCTCTACTGGTCATGGCTTACCTGTGATAAATATTTTGGTTGTGTATTTTAGTATATTTTCATAGATCTAGTGTGCCTAGGCATCAATATCATAGTACTTTCGTCTCTCAAACGGTCATATTCTCGGGCGAGCAAATATTTTGGAAAAAAAAAACATTTTTATTCGGCTTTTTGTTGAGATTTATCGGGAAACACACACAAACGAAACATGAGGGTTCTACTAGAGGAAATGGTTTTGGACAAGACCCGCGAGTCTGCTCTCGATAGAGTTGTGAACTTAAATTTCGTCAACTGCGACCTGACGGACGTTTCCATTGTCCAAAGCATGCCCAACTTGGAGATAGTCGCTCTGTCGGTGAACGCGATCAAGTCACTGGAGGTATTCGCTGGCTGCACTAAGCTGCAGCAGCTGTACCTGCGATCAAATCAAATTGAGGACATCAATGAGATTAGGCATCTGAGAGACCTGCAACATCTCACGGTATTGGCCCTGGAGGCCAATCCTTGTGCAGAATGTGCTGGTTCAGAGTGAGTACTGTACACCATCCAACTAACCAATTCTCTCCCTGAACGAGTGCTGTCCGCTAACGAGTGGTCTCCCTTAACGAGTGGTCACCCCTAACGAGTACTCTCCCCTAACGAGTGGTCTCTCTTCGCAGGTATCGAAATATCCTGCTCCGCGCTTTTCCAAAGCTGCAAAAAATAGATCGCGTTGATGTAACTCCGGAGGAGCTCACAAATGCCTTGCAGAAGCCACCAGAGGTATCCTTGTACCCCGTGGACGCCTTTCAGCAGTCCGATGAACAGCAGAGGCGCTGCTTGAGTGCCCAGATGGGGGAACAGCTGGCCCAATTGGTACAGCTTGTGCCATTCACAGCCGGACACCAGAACCAGGAGCTACCACCACCAGCACCAGCTGCTCCTTCGATGGCACTTAAACCGAACCGTAGCCGTACTCCGATTGGCTCCATCGCCTCTGGGGAGTATCGTGGAAGGCGCCTGGCACGCCTGTCGTCCATCGTGTCCGTGGCTGCCAGCTACCAGTCGTCGGACTTTGGTCCGAGCTCCAGAGATCTCGATGCTTGGAACTGCAACCAGCAGCAGCAGCAGCAGCAGCATCAGCAGCATCAGCAGCATCAGCAGCAGCAGTTGCAGCGGGTGCACGATCAGATGCAGCTTCAGATGTCCCGGCAATCGTGCGGCCGCAGCCAGCAGCAGATGGTGCACCAACAGCCGCGTAGTCCGCATCGAGCACCCAGACTGAGGAATGCCCCACTGCCACCACCACAATGGCAGACACGCGACAACGATTAGTAAGGGCTACCCTCTCTGATCGAAGTAGGGTGAAGGATTAACTTTCCCTCTCTCTCTCTCCCCACCCACAGCTGGCAATACAGCAACATGGAGTCGCCCCAGCCGTTGGTCAACTATCCATCGGGGGGCAACAACAGGCGTCGTGGACAGCCCATAGAAAGAAATCTTCTAACAGCCGTATTGTATATGCTGCAGGAACTAGATCTAGGGGCTGTCCAGGAGCTGGAAAATGTTGTCAGTGAGCGCCTGAGGAATCTCAAGCGCGACTAAAGGCCCACAGATCACACACACACACACACACACACACACGTTCAATACCATTTCATGTTTCAGTCGTTAAGGCCTCGCTATAACAAGGCAGACGCCCTACACGTTGTGCGATCCCTTGTTATAGCTGGTTTAGTTAGTTCCAGTTCAAATTCAATTGTTTTAACTAAAAATTATCAATAGAAAACCCAACGCAACATGCTTTTTATTGCCACACAGGAACATGGAGAATGGAGCGCCAGTATGTCCAGCCTAATGGGGCCACAACTATTTTGAGGTTCAGCTTAAAAGCCGGAAATTAAATCAAGATTTGCAAGCCACAGACAGAGAGTCTGTACTCCCCAGCTTGGGGGAGTCCTAACTCACATTTAGGGTAGCGCATTCTGGGCCTGGTCCTGGTCCTGGTCCTGGTCCTGGTGCTGGTCCTGGTCATTCATTCTCATTCCCATTCGACCTGACACTTTGACCATGAAAATGAAAATATGTTGGAGGTTTCGTTTTCGTTTTTTGTGGCCAGACTAAGAAAAATGCCGTGTGTGTGTTTGCTGGATTTGTAAAAAGCGCAAGTGTAATTAGTGTGAGGCTTAACGGGGCTAAACAAACAGACAGATCGTGGGCCGGGTCAGAGCCAGACACAGGCACAGATACAGATACAGACACAGACACAGACCGTTACGAACTCAGACCAGTTTCGGTCTGGAATTTGTCCCCCCATGGTTTTACAGGCTTTACAACTATTGCCAAATTGCATTTGAATAGTCGCGGCTTTTGGGAGTTGGTGTTTCTATTTTTTGTGGTCTGTGTTTGGGTGTTTCGCTTCAGAGTCTGCAACTGCAACTGCAACTGCAACTGTCTCTGGCTGATAAATCGCTAGAGCATTATTTATGAACTCCTCGTGTCACTCTGGCCTCTGGTCTCGGGTCTGAGAGTCGCTTTATGCATGGTTAATTTTTATGAGCGACACGGCGGCACCCTCTGACGTATGCGTGATATGCTCTCAGACTCCGACTCCGTCTCCGTCTCCGTCTCTGACTTTTGTTTGGACTATTATTTAGTGTCCAGGGCGCAACAGCAATCAGAGAGGCCAACGGTTAACGGCCTTGGCCAAGTGCTTCGGGGGAAACTGCTAGAAAATTATGATCCGCATAAAAAGCTATAGTTTATGAGGAGCAACAAATAAATCGACAATTTGTTAGAGCATGTGAAAGGTGTGCAGGTGCAAAGACATCTCTGATTGAATTTTTATATGGCAATGCCGTGAGATCTGGCAACACCCCCTTGGCACACAGCTAGCTGTCGCTCTCGCTCTCACTCTCTCTCTTTGTTTTTTTCTCATCTTTCATCACAATCGAGAGCAATGTTGAGAGAGATCGCGGTCTGCTTTCTGCCCCAGCGGTACACGGAGGTAGCATTCGCATAATATCGAAACGATTAACCATTAGGGGATTCCTGCTGTTTATGTCGTTCTTTCCATGACAGAACTCCATGATATGTCTACATAGGAGACCCCTAAATGGTGTATCCCAGCCAGAATCTTATGGACACTGGTTTAATGGAGTTCTGCGGGCAGGCCATGGCTGGACTTTTCCACAGGAATATGCCTGAATGCACTGTGAACCTTCCTTAGAGGCAGACAGAAAACCTGCTTGGAACTGGTCGTCATTTAGGCCGGCCCCGATTCGACAACCTCTGGGGTATTCCCTCCGTCCAAGCTCCATACTTAGAACTACCAATATAGCCCCAAAATCGTTTCAAAAATAGCTTACCTGAAGATATATCAAGCCAAGTTTTTCTTTATTTCCTGAGTGGGAACCCCAGCGAAGGGCAGATCCAACTTCATATGTTTAAAATAAAACTAAATTTTTGACAAACACCTTCGATTGAAGTGCGGCAACGGTGCTGGCGATGCGCTCTGGAGGCGCTCTCGACAGTCATAAAAAACACATTCATCAGGCATCTCTTTAAGCGATGGCCGTTAATGATGATGATGTCGATGTTTATGCGGAATCGGGTGGGTGGGTGCCTTCCATGGCAGATACTCGCATGTGGCTGGTGGATGGGGCCGCGTCTTGTTTACGGCTCCCTGTTCTTCTCCTCTCTGGCGTGTTTCGATGCCAAAAACTTCCGGCCATCGATGGGCATGGGGGAACAGCTGCTGTTCGCTTTGGGGGTGATTGGACCTCACCCCCTGCCCCCTCTGGCTCTACAAAATGTGGCCTTGATGCCGCGACGCAAAAGCAGAAACAATGAAGCTTCAAATTGCATCTTAAGATCTGCTGCCTTAGGATAGTGCTGATGGAAATCAGAAATAGTAACAAGTGCCACAGAGAAGCCGCAAAGGAGATGCACGGTACTGGGGCTTGTGGCAGCCACAGTGTGGTTGGGGGCAGTGCTTGTGTGTGTGTGTGTGTGTGTGTGTGTGTGTGTGGAGGCAAAGTGGGGACGTTGTCCGGATAGCAAAGTCTTTTGATTTATGCGGAGCAATTAATTTTTTGCGCATTTTTGTTGGTGCTGCCGCTGCTGCCGCTGCTGCCGCTGCTAGATGTTGCCATGGGGAAACTGCTGCTGACGACACCGACACGGACACCGACACCGACACGGACACGGACACGGACATGAAACTATGTAGAAGGCGACAAAGCCTGCCCCAGGCACAGTGCCACCCGGGGTCACTGCCACAGGGTATCATAAGAGAAAAAAAAAGAAATGAAGCTTCAAATATACATATATGGTATTTACTTCTGGATAATCGCAAAAATTCCACAAAAATACTGAAGAAATCTAAAAGAAAATTTTCGTTTGTGGCCCTTTCGCTGAACAAATTTCCCATAAGCAATTGGCACCAACAGAGACCATCCTTTGGGGGAGATTCAGGAATTTGTACAATTAATTTATAAGAGGAAGAAGCAGCCGCAGGGTGAAAAACACAATCATAAAAAATCTATAGAAATTTAAATTCTTGAAAATTTAATTCAGAAAAAATTACATTCTGGAAAAATTAAATTCCAGGAAATTAAGTTCAAGAAAATTAAATTCTAAAAAAAATTTAATTCCAGAAAATTAAATCTCTAGAAATTTAAATTCTAGGAAATTAAATTCTAGAAATTTAAGTTCTAGAAAATAAAATTCTGGAAAATGACATTCTAGGAAATAAAATCTATAGGAAATGAAATTCTATGAAATTAAATCTCTAGGAAATTAAATCTCCAGAAAATAAACTTCTAGAAAATTAAATGCTAGAAAATTAAAGACTATAAAGTGAAATTCAAGAAAGTGAAATTTTAGAATAATTAAATTCTAGGTAAATAAATTCTATGAAATTAAATTCTGCAAAAATTAAATTCTAGGAAATTAAATCTCTCGAAAATTAACTTCAAGGAAATGAAATCTCTAGAAAATTAAATTCCAGGAAATTTTAAGTTCTAGGAAATTAAATCTCCAGAAAAACTTCTAGAAAAGTAAATGCTAAGAATTAAATTCTAGGAAATTAAATTCTAGAGAATTAAATTCTAGGAAATTAAATGTGTAACGTACGAGTATACGTGCTTTGATACAGTATATTCTGTAAGTAGAGTTCTTGAAAGGTATGTACTTGCAGCTGTTTTCATAGAACATTCGACCACAGTGCGGTGTCTGGGCATGCAGACAGAGAGCGAGCGAGAGAGAGAGAGAGAGAGAGAGAGAGAGAGGAAGGGCGAGAGTCTCGGCCAAAGGTGCGTTCACGCGTAGCAATGCAGAGGGATCTCTCTCCCTGCTGTCCCTTGTCCCTGCCTCTTGGCTCATACGCCTGTCATTGGACGGACGGACGGACGGACGGACGGAGGGACGGAGGGACGAGTACCACCTCCCGGTGTCCGTAGGTCGGTGCGGAATTCTCCTGCTCGCATTGGTTGAAGTTTTTGCGGCCAGAAATGGGCAACGTTTTGGAATTTTAGTTCCGCTTTGTTGCCGTTGCCGTTGCCGTTGCCCCCATGCCACATGTCCTCGACTGCCGTCTGTCGTCTGCCGCCTCCTCTCCGCTTGTCGGTTGTGGTTGTTGTCGGGCTAAGTGTTTGTTATGATTTATATTGGTTTTATTAAATGTTTCAACAACCTTTTGGCCAACAATTATTTACTGCAGGCCATGGAACGAGCGAGCGGCGAGGAGCGTGGCACGCATGAACGCATCGTGGGAGGGGGAGGGGGAGGAGGAGGGGGAGTGGTTGTGGATTTGAAGTGCCACGGATGCCAGACTCTGTGTGTATGTCCTGGCAATGACATTAAAGCCGGTCTGGTCCGTGTGGCAGGTGTTGGCACGGGGCATGCAACATGACGGTGTTGCACGGCAAGTTAATGAGCTTAAAGGAAACACAGCTGCCAAGGAGTCGAACGTAATGGCGAAAGCTCCACTTAAGCCTCAAAACCCAAGGAGACACAATGAGAGGAAATGTGGCAGAAGTCTGACAGAGCAAGGGAGAGAGAGAGAGAGAGAGAGAAAGCTACAGACAAAACATCTCTCAAGACGAATCATTGATGTCCTTTGTGCCGCCACCTTTGCTTCGGGCAAAGAATTGCCCAGCAAAACAATATACATGCGTGTGCATGACACCCCACATTGATGTTCGACTCGAGCTCGGCTAATGGGGGTGGTCTCTTTTCGTTTTAGACTATTCCCCGCGGATTTGCCAGGACTAGAGTCGGTGTAGAGTAATGGAATCAAAAGATTACTTTTTGGGTATATTTTCTCCTATAAGAATTATGATTCTTGCTAAAAGTTTTCTCTCAAAGTCTCTGTGAAAAACCAACTGAGGAAACGAAACACGCATAGAGATAATTTATACCGTAAATACTCCATAAAAACCTACAATAATCCTCTAGTTAAAACAAATAAACTGCTTTAGAATATTCGGTTCTCGTTCGCAGATTTGTCCATGTTTGTGGCTATCATAATGGACACTTAAAATTGGCTGAACCCCATATCTTTTGTACTAAACATAGAGCTCATAATATGCTATTGAATCGCCTAAAAAAAACCTGGGGGAAATGTTTTTATTCTACCTTTTTTGTGTACATCAAAAGCGTGGCTTCCCGAAGCTCTGCAGCGCCCATGTTTTGGACTTAAGCGAACCCTTTTTTAATCGAAATATAATATGGGTTTATTAGTATTCAATTTGAAGCCAAATAAGTTCATTGAAATGTTATATTTTCGATCCTCGGTGCAAATCTATTGGCAAATCGTAAATATTACCATTTGTGGGCCTCTTTTCTCTGAGTGTATACTAGAGTTTAGGTTCGTGGTACTGACTGACATTTGTCACTATTTTAGCTCAAACACTCAATAGTTTTTAATGAATTTTTGGTGGCCTTTCATTAGAACTCCTCCTTAAAGTGATGTCTGCTGACTTACGAGGGAATATTCATGGCTCTAAAGTGGAAGGCGACCAATCGATTGAGAATGCCCTGGATACCCTTCGGGCAGGCACTTCAAACCACTTGTCGTTGCAGCTTAGATCACAATTTTGATGGAGGTGACAGGCGCCAAGGAGCACGGGAGTACGCGGACCTCTCTTTCTCTCTCAGACTCCGGCAACAACACTATCCTTGTCGTGGCTGCACGTTTTTGACGGCTTTATTGTTTAGCTTGGAGTTTACTCAGACTTTTTTTGGGGGGGGGGGGGGGGGGGGGGGGGAGAGGGGGCGTGGTTGAGCACAAAGTGCTCCAAAGTCACCAAGTCGTTGGGCTCCCGGCTCTGGGGCAGGACACTGGTGCCAAGGGGGTGGCAGACAGTCCTCCGTCCTCCTCTGCACTTGAATGACTTTTCATAACTTTATGGAAAGTTTTCACAATGCACAAGGCACAAGGCACAAGGCAGGCGACAGCGACAATGAAGAAAACACCGCCTGACAATGGCCAAATGAGTGGCTCTCGGGGCAGGGGAACGAGGGGAACGAGGGGGGTCACCTTTTGCCTGCTGTGGCACGTTTCCGCTTCCGTTTAGCGCGACTCCTCTCCTCGTGTGCCACTTGAGCATAATGAATATTTTCGTAAATTGAAATGTTGTTTGTCCTCCTCGAGGTCCTCCTGGACTCCGAAGCGTCCCCAACGACCGAGTCACTTTCACTTTACGACTGCCTCGGCGGCTGCATAAATATGAAAAATGTAAAATTTAATATGCAATTTACGTCACTGAAAAGTTGCTGCCACCATCCCACCATCCCACCAGCCCCATCCACAGCTCCAGCTTTTAATGCCCTGCCAGAGGGCATGCCGACTCTCCATTGAAGACCCACAATTTCTATAATATATATATATATATAATATATTAAATTCGATTTACAGCTCATTGCCGGATTGTGTTTCATATTTGTAAAACACAACAAAGTACAAAAAATATATCCAAGCGCCAAAGAACACCATTCCCTGTAGGACCAGCATCGACTCGGAATCAGGGATCCTTGCTGCCCCTTCCCGGGGCTCTTCCGCGTTCGCTTCCATTCGATTGAGTTGCCAAACGTTCAAGGCTGTTGTTGAGATGTTGTCTCCGTTGTTCGATTTGCGCTTAATATTTTTTGTTTGTTTAGTTTTCGTATGTTTTTCTCTTGGCCAGCTTCTTGATCAAGCAAGTTACTGAATCTCCACCCAAAAAGGATGCTCTCGAAAGGGTATCTCAAGGTTCGGGGGAGGGGCTTTTCCTTGGGCTCTCTTCTGGGTTTCAGTTTTTTATGTCTTATGTCTTTGGTCATTGTCTATTGTCTGGGGAAATTTACAGCCTCGTCCGTGTGGCAAATGTGCGATGAATAAGTGAGAGCTTTGCTAATGAGTGGGTGGACAGTGGACGGTGGACGGTGGACAGTAAATGGAATACGAGAGCACGAGTATGGCGAAATTTGAGCCGTACAGCGACACAACGCGTTGGCATTGAAATCTGTTCATGTTTCATGGCCTCTGGGCACGCCTCTGACTGACAGACAGACAGACAGACAGACAGACAGACAGACAGTTGTATGCTAAATATGATTGATATAAACACAAAAGAGATCTCTTTCGTGGCTCTGTCTATCAGCGAGAGAAAAGGCAAAAATGATCAATCATTCCATCTCGCAATCGATTCGCGGCGAGAGAGAGAGAGAGGGAGCGGGGATCTCACAAGCATCTTAATGAGTGCCCATTCATGATTTCAATCTCAAACCATGGGATACATTTCTGCCATAGCCTTCTTGTGTGGGTATAGATAGAGAGGGAATGGAGGGTGCGACAGGTCGAAGATCCCTCGGTATCGAGGTGTTTGTGGCAAAGGAAAGTGGCACCCTATCGACCCATATTTCGAGCCATTTCGAGCCACATTCGGATTGATTTTTGCCTCCATTTCTCCCCATAGAGTCCTCCTTAACGAGTCCTCCTCGTTAGGAGCGACAGGAGCCAAATAAATTAATTATGTTAATCTGTTTACATGTCAGGCGCATTAGCAGTGTTTCTGCTTCTCATAGAGGGAGGCGGTTATGTCTACAGTTAATAAAGCAAACACCTGTCGCAGAAGGAGAGCCAGAGCCATCCGTTTGGACGCCGCCTCGTTGACTGCGTCAAAAACTTAAAACGCTCTCGGATTGCATAAACTTTTTGACAATCATCAAGCCCCTGATGATGATAAGGATGGTGATGATGGCCTGCTCCTAGACATCATCAATTTTCAGAGTCGGGAGGGCAAGAATGGGGCAGCCGCAAAAACACTTTGGTGGCACGAAAAACTTTCTGTGGTGCCAGCCAGCGCCAGCCACAGTGCCACGAAGCGGGTTCGAAAATGGTGCCACAAAAATGCGGAAACTAAGAGGAAAAGATATATTATTATTCAGTGGCATTCGAATTCTTGGATCCCAATATTTTCAGTGAGGAGCGACAGGGTGTACAGGGTGGTCCGCTCACTCTCTTTCGGGTCTTATTTTACGCTGAGAACCACTTGGAGGCCATGTTTCATGCCAGAGAGAGGGAGCGCGAACGGTCGAAATAAGACCCGAAAGGAGAGCGCGTTGCGGGAGCGGACCACCAGGCATAATGTCATCAAGTCGCAGGCAATGGTGGCCTTTGAAGGCAGGATTGTTCGGCAGTAGTCGAGTCTAGCGAGGAGCTGTTTGACTGGTTGAAACAGGTTCCTTGCGGAAATATCACTCTGCGACAGGCATCGTCACCATATCTCTGTGTTGCATGCCACTGTGCGCTGTAGTCGTTGTAGCTGATGTTGATGAGGCATCGTGCACTTTAGGCAAATTAGTTACGCAGCTCATGTTCTTGGCCTCATCCTCATTCCCGGCCTCGTGTAACCTCATCCCTAGGCCAAAGCCCAAAAACACCATTCCATTTTGGGATACGCTACTTGTGTGTGTGCGTGTGTGTGTGTGCGTGTGTGTGTGTGTGTTTGGGGGGTAAACAAATTTAATAAATAGCTAAACCCACACACACCCACCCCACAACCCTTTGTACCAGCAACCAGCAGGCTTTCGGGGAGGGGGATGGACGGTTCCGGCTGTCAGCAAGAAACCCTTCAACCCTCTCTCAGTCAGGCGGGAGGGCGGGGGGGCGCCTTCTTTTGGGCCAGACATATTCATATTTACTCAAGTTTATGGAGCATTGTATTTGTCTTTGGTTTCTGTCATCTCCCGGACATTTGTCGGCTGTTGTTTCTTGGGGCATTCCGGCGGCATTGCCACATAAAATATAACACTTCATTTTGGCCAGTGGTTGGGGGGCAGGGGGGCAGGGGGGGGTGTGTTTTTTCCTCAATATCTAGAATGTCTTGACGCCTACACACACACACACACACGACCCACAATGAGGGTCGATAGAGTCGGTGTCGGCGCTGGGGTCTCATAATTTATATGCTAAACATATTGCGCTTATATGGTATTACAAAAATATCTAAATATGTACATACCCGGCGTATCCCTGTTACGCATTTTAGTTGTATCTTGTAGCTTGTCTGGTGGCCACAACTTGACTGTCACTTCAAATGGCTGCAGTCGGCTGGGAGTGGCTTTTTCTGGTTCTGATTCTGATTGTGGGTGTGGGTGTGGGTGTGGGGGGGGCTGATGAAAAGGTTAAGCTTGAAATTTTCAAGCCCCATGATCGAGCAGTGCGGGCTAGAGACGACCGACCCGACCCGACCCGACTCGACCCTTGTCAAAGGTTAGCCAACGTCTCTTGTCCTTCTACCGCCGCCGATGACGGCTGGTGACCCCGATCTATCTGTTAAACTTCACTTCTTAATGCTAGATCCCCCATCTTTTGGTGGTTCTTAAATATATTCATTGTATTTTCTAAATCTGATCGTTACCTACAAAATATCCGAGGGATTTTCTTGGGAAAAGAACTCTGGTCCTAAAAAATTCCTTGCAATCTTAAGCATACGGTTTGTACGATTAGTACAATCCCTTCCCCTTCCCCCACCAATACGATCTTCCTCTTGCCCACTGATCAGATGGATCTCCAACCCATTGTCCACTGGGAGAGGAGTTTTTGCACCGAAATGGTGACCTCGTTCGTTGCCCAACGCATTGCTCTCTCCACAGTTTACATTCTGGCCATGACTTTAGTGCTTTTGGCTGTCAGCCATGCATGCCACTGGCATTCCCATGAAGCGCTCAGCGGAGCATAAACTGTTCACAGACCATTGCCACCTGTAGAGGCGTTCCTTTCTCATGAAGAACAATGGAATGGGATGGCATAAGATGATGACTTACCCATGATGATGATGGCGCTGGCTGGGACGTCGCTGGGGACGCGGCTGCACTGATGGAGGCGCATGGGGATGACACCAAAGCGGCAGGCGTTGCACCTTCTTCACCTCCGGGGAGAGGCCCATTATCCGTGTGGCCGCCGCACTGGCGCTCAACGGTGATGTCATATTGGCCAAATCGCTGGCATCCGTATCCTCCTCGGCATCATCAGCCTCCCTTGCAGCCGCCGCTGCACTGGCGATGGCCGGACGTGAGCGTCGCGGTGGCCGGGGCAAGGGCTTGGGTGCCACCCGACGGCGATTATTCTGAGGGCAGTTTTGTGCGGATATTGTCGGATTTGCGGATCGGATTGTCTTCATTGGGTGTGGCAGATTATTATTGCTAATGCTTTGCCAATGATGCAGCGGTTGCAGCAGTTGCCTTGATTGGAGCTGCTGCTGTGGCTGTTGCTGTGGCTGCTGCAGCGGCTGCTGCTGATTCGCTGTTGCATGGCTCGGCGCTGATCGAAGATCGTTCAGCATTACATCCAGATCGCTGGCCAAAGAGCTGAGCAGCTGCAATAATGGAAATGAATGAGAGATGTAGCACAGACAGAACACACACAGGGCGGTATCTAGTGAGAAGCTAAACAATAAATCAATCACAAGTGCACAGTCCAATGTGTCCAGATGCGGTTTTAGAACCACCTTCGAAGTACTTTCGAACCCAAGAAAAATCTCTCGTTACACGTTACTCGTACAAGGATACATTTTTGAGAGATTTTTTTCATAGCTTTTGGCGTCATTTTATTAGTAGCTAAAGAACTAGCGTGGGGCTGGCAGAAAAAACATTAGCGAGACAGTAAAATATAAAAGCAACGAGTGGAAATCAAGAGGAAAAGATGTGAGAGACAAAGCGAAAAGAAAACATCAGCGAGACCGAGAAATAACAAAGCAGCGAGAGAAGCGAGTATCTTCGTTGTGGTTTCTGGTAAGAAACAACGAGAGTATTTCTTTTATCTTTTTTCTCGCTGATTATTTGTGCTTTTTTCTCTGTGTCTCTCGCTGGTTTTTCTTCAGCTCTGGCTGATTATCGTCGTTTCTGATTGCTGCTTCTTTTATATCTCCAGTTCTCTTAGTTTCTCCTCTCGCTAGTTGTTTTTCTGCTCTGTACTTTCTCGCTGTACTCCATAGATTTCTTTTGTTATTTTTTTCCTGGTTTCTCTTCCACTCTCGCTTCTCTTTTACTCGCTGCTTGTCCTGTCCAGCTTTAGTTACTGTCGAACCGCATTCAAACCGCAACTCAGAACCAAGCAGCAAGTCTATACCGTGAAATGCCATGAAAACGATCAGCGATTTGATTGAAAATCAAACCAATCAATGCGATTGATTGGTATTTAAGTTCTATGAGGCTGTCTCCCCCTCTCTGCAGTGGCATGCAAATCTCCAGCTCGATTCTGGGTTAATGAACGGATGTCTCAAGTGGCGACAGCTCATGGGAATCATTTGATTCGCAAAATCATGGCCCAGAGAGAGGCCACTTGGACTTAGCCTTCGGTGCCGTTCGTGTCGTTTCGTGTCTCTTTGCGGAGGAATTTCCGTTACACAAACATTCGGCTAGCGGTGGTGGGGCATGCATCGGATTGGAGTGTGGGGTGTTGGGTGTGGGGTGCTTTGGGTGGGGTACCGCTGTACCTGCCACAACTGGTCTGAACTTCCGGCGCGCCGGTGGCAGGCCTTGGCTGTGGCTGTGGCTGTGGCTGTGGCTCTGTCGCGGATCTGCGACTGTGGCGATCTCCAATAATTACGCGCTCCACTGTCTTGTCTTGGCTAATGCAATAATAACGGGTTTGTGGCTGGCCCCTGCCCTGCCTCATATGCAACATGGTTAACCCGTGTTCCCAAGCCAAGTGCCAAAAAGCAGCCCCCAGTCCCAGCCCCAGCAAACACAACAAACCGGCTCCCACGCTCTGTGCTAATTTGATCTCCACTTCGTTTTGAGTTCCTTTTTGTTTTCTTTTTTTTTTTGTTTCTTGTGTTGTTTTTCTGTGTATTTATAAATATTTCTTTTGGCGCAGAAATTGGCAAACTGTAGGCAAATTCTGCACGAAAAGTGAAGTGCAAAACGAATGGGGAATCGGGGAATCGGGGAATCTGGGAATCTGGAAAGACTGGCAACAGTCTGGAGGGGAGGCTTTCTGGAGGGAGTTCTAAGGCAAACAAAAAATCCAAGCATATGGAAAGGGAATTGGAAATTGCTTTCATTTGAATGTCACACCCGAATTCACATCCACCCCAACAAATCCCACACAAGGCACACGGCCGCTCTTTAAAGGCATCGTGTGCTATTCGCTTATGGGAAGTTTTGTGTTAAATCTAAAAATATTTCTATAATTTATAAAAAAATAAATAGTGTATAAGTTCCAGGCCAAAAATGGCTTTGTGCATCATCTCATCTCATCCTCATCTCCCAATCGAATCGGCATCACGTATACGCCTCAATGGAGTTTGTGGAAGAAAATAAAAAAACTTAAACATATGGATTAGCATGTAATAATGCCACAGCCACACTCCCAGGCAAACAGACACACAACTAGAGGCACAGACAGCCAGAGAGACGGTCAGACAAGGGAGACAGAGCCATAGACGAGCCGCCAGCCAATTGAGCAATTGCCACAGCAAACAGATTCAAATTGAAAATGTGGGCAAAGCAAGCAAAAACCAAACGAAACCAAAAAAAAAAAAAAACGACAAAAAACAGACAAGAAATGAAAACCAAAATCAATTGCCGAGGCATCGAATGCCCTTCCTTATAGCAGGGGGATTTTTGGGTCATCAGGAAGGCAATATTTACGTTTCGATATCGATTTTTCTTACGATTTGGGTTCGCCCTGGGGTTTGGGATTTGGACATATTGGACATTGACTATCAATACTATCGATATGGCCTACATTTAAAGGGATATAATATCATCGCTAGGATATTCTTTGTGATATTCGTGACGTTAGCTAGTCCCTAGCAAGTCCTCGACGAATTCACGGGTGGACCAGCCATCGCTGATATCACGGTCGACAATTCCTTCACAAGAACTTATACATATGTGAAAAATTCGATAAATTGGGCAATATATTCGTGACGAGGCTCATCCATAGCGCGCCATGGGTGACCATCGATGAATGGGTAGCAAGACCTCGACGCATTTTGGGTACTTACTTCAAAAACCCTTCTTTAAGGGCAGGGTATCAAATAACCAGGGGGCTAAAAAATTGAAAATAAAATGGAAACCCAACCGCAGAGTTTCTTGTGTTTGAAGTGCAAACAAAACTTCAATTGGCAATATACGCGAGTGGGGAGCGAGGAGTCGAGAGAGCGAGAGAGGTAGGGCAGAAAGGGATTGAAATGGAGAGGAAGTGGGATTATTAGCAAATGAGGAAGGGAATGGGGAGCGTGAGGGAGAGCGAGCACTTTCAATTTAAATCTCATAAAACAATTTGGAGAAAAAATACAACAAAAATAAAATTAAATTTCATTATATTTTAAATTAAATTTAATAAGCGACGCGGACGTCTTGCTCGTTGTATTTCCCCCTTTTACTTACCGCAATGGCATCCATTACGGCGTTAACCATTTTACTGCTGCTTCTTTGCCTTCTTGTTGTTTCTTCGAATTTATCTGAGCCTCTCGCTGGTTCTCGCTGTTCTGGAGGCCTATCTTCGTCTCTCGCTGGTTGTCTGCTCTTCTCGTTTTAGTTCTTTGCTACATCTCCCGCTGCTTATTCGATTGGCTCGCTGGTTTGTCCTTCTCTCGCTACATCTATCCTTCTTCTCTCGTTGCTTCTTTACCAATCTCGCCGCTTCTTTGTGACTTGGCTGCTTCGCTTTCTTAAAACTTTTGATTTATTTGACAGTCATGCAAATATTTTGCCCACAATTTCGCAATTTTGTTGTTGCGCGACTCTTCGCCGACGGATTCTCAATTTCAATTTCAATTTCAATTCGAATTCATTTGGCTTCTCGGACCCCGTTCTCCAGCGACCCGCCTGGCTCCTTTGTCGCTGGATCTGTTGACATTTAATTAACGTTCACGATTTGCTCATGCGACAGGTGATGGTTGCGACCGGACAGGCGCGGACTGGCCCGCCAGATCCGAGGATGAGGCTGAGGACTGCGGTAGTACGTGGTACGTGCTCTCGGGCTCTGTGGGTTGAAACAAATTGTGAAAGAGTTATAGGTTTCTGGCGATGCAAATGACAACTCAAGTGGGCAGCAAAAGGCGTTTCAAAATAAAGAAAATACAATAAAGTGTAGATTAAACATGCATAGAAGTTATGACAATAATGAGATCACTATTGAGGTTGAACGAAGGCTAGGGTTGGACAGAATCCAGGGGAGACTTCGTCAAGGAAACACCCATAGACTCTGACAAATACCATCTTATATGATTTTCTGTAGCACTCATTCTGCACACAGTCCAGGATATATCTGTAATGGGTCCAGAAATATATAAGAAATGGTTTGAAGCAGACACCGAAGATGAAATGGAAGCTCTGCTCCCTTTCGGGCATAATTACGATCGAATCTGGGGTACAGAGGGAACGACTCCCATTCCGAGGATCTATGTCTATCGAAAGTATCGCAGAATCGTGAGATGGGGCGGTGTTTTCCAGGCAAACAAATGGAATAATAAAATGGTGAAAATGGCAGAGAAACCGTCATATGTGTGGACAAGCAGCGAGCAAAACAGAAACAAAAAACTAACCAAAAAAAAAAAGGCACGAAAAAAAGTGAATGTTGAATGTATCTTGCAGATACACTCGTCGCACATTCATACATAAGTATTTTTTTAATTAAAACCCCGTGCAGAGCAATTGCTTGGCTCTTTCTGGCTCTGTCCAAACATTTTGTGGGGCCCCAACTTTATTTGACAATGTCCCAGGCCCCACCCCCCTCCCCCCGTCTCTACGCACACGATGATGATGTAGATGTTGACAAATGGAAAAACTCGTTTCACGTATATTTTCCACACAATTTTCCGCATTTTATGCTCATTAATTACATTTTCATTTCAGTTTCTGCATTTACATAACCATTTCATTTCATTTCATTTCATTCGTATCTGTCGTATCTTTCGGATACTATTTTGAAGCTGGTTATAGTATCTCTGGGTGTTCCCCTTGAAAAGGGTATGGTCGTTTTAATCAGATCAGAAACTCTTTTCTTTTTCAGATATATTCCTGATCCGCACTTAACAGAAAACAGACAAATATTTCATGTACTGCATTTACTCCAGAAATTTCCCCTAAGCGAGCGGCTGCAGCCAGGGAAAAGAGAGCCTTGAGCCTCCAATCCGAGAGTGGAAATGTTTGCACCCAAATTTTGGTATTAATATGAAATTATTAAATGCAGTATTTTTAGTATTTTAAATTAATTATATTTAATATATAAAGTAATTATTTTACATATTATTTTGATTTTTAAGTTTTAAATACTTTAATTAAATAAATGACAAATGAATTAAATTCATAAATACATTTTTGTACTTTATTTTTTATTTATATTTTATTTTTATTTTTTAATTTATAGTTACTTTTTTTTTTAAATTAATTTTTTATATATATTATATATTTTTATTTTCTTTTTTATATTTTTTTTTATTTTTATTTGTTTTAACTTTTATGTTTAAATCAAAGTGAGTTCTCTTTAATTTCCCCATGTTTTTATTAAAAAATACAATATTTAATTTAATATTAATATCTGTGTGTTTCCTTTTACCCTGCCACATTTCTCTGAGTGTATATTGTCTCATCAGTCCCATCTTTTCAATATGTTAAATTTCATTCATAGGGTATCAATCGCTTCGGTCGCTGATGTCCGCAGCGTTCCTCCTTTCTTGTTTGTTGCCTCGAAATTCCACACAGTGTGTATGGCTGACGGTTGACGGAAGTTGAATTGCAAATGAAATTGTGAACAGTTCAGATACGAGATACGCGGCTTTAAGGTTGAAATGCATTCGACTCGCGACAACATTTCCCGCACAAACAAAAAACAACCGAAAAATCGGTGGCCATCAAACGAGAAGCGTGAAAAAAAAAAATGTCACGCAGTCGCCGCAGAAGCAGCTCATTACAAAAGCTTTAAATGCATAAAAAAAGCCGAGCCGAAGTCTCGTATTCATTTATTTGGCTTGAATAAATTGTTGATCAAATGGGGAAGATGCCTTCAAATGGGATTCTATATCTACTAGATGTATCGCTGCGTCTCTTTGGGGATCGAGTATGTGGGATCGGCTTTGGTTGAGTAATTCATGATTCGGCACATAAGTCAATTATTCTCAAGCTTTATTTTAGTCTGGATCCTTAACGAACCGAAGCCTCAATCTCATCTTTCACCTCAACAGCTACCGTGTATTTTTTGAGCCTTTGCTTGGAGACAGGCCTTCTCTGATCGGATTGATCATTTGTGCTATCTTTCCACGAGTTAGGCCATCTTTAAAATGATGAATCACTGCTCCAAAGATTGATAAACCGATTCAAAGAACACAGAAGAAAGACAGGGGCTACTCAGCGAATTGGGACCCAAGATCTAGGGTCCGTGCCGACCATACACCCGTATTTTTGCTGAGGTTGAAAAAAAGTTCAGTTCTCTCTCTCTACGACATCCTGATCGAAAGATAATGACAGCTGCGAGGGCAGCCCGAGAGGGGAAATACATGAAACATCATCAAAGTGCAAGAACAAGGGCCAGGAGGCGGCTGTCCACCTGTGGCCCCCATCCGGTTTTCATTGGTGCTCCCGTTTTCGCAGAAATTAAAAAAAAACGCATCTCAATTGCAGATCGAATAAAAATAGATGACTTATTGATGCATTTACATATAAGGGACACATTTACCAGGCAAATTCAGCTTTAGCTTTTCTTAAAAAGAATTTTCGTTTAACCCAACCTCGAATTTTGCTTTGAAACAACAACACCTTGGGTTTTCGTGCAAACAGCAGACGCCCCGATCGACACATCGGATGCAGCAAATAACAGATCATTTCCTGCGCTTAACAGCACTAAATGTGGTCTCTGTAATAGAAATAAAAGCATAAGCTGTTGTACTAAGAGTTGTAATAAGTCTTTGATCGCCCAGATCAAACGGAATGAATTCTTTGTGTTGGACTCATTTCATTGTAAATCTAAGCCATCTGTCCTTGCTCAAAAACAGCATACCCTTGCCTATCCTTTTGCCAGTAACTGGAGAAGGATTCCGATAACTGATTGGAGATCAAAACCTTCAATAGATTGTCATCCCATCCATGCCAATCAATTCCCATCCAAACCACCAACGGCACGCCCACACAGACCTCTTTCCCTCGGTCAAAATTAATGCTTGGACCAGAAGACAACTCTTTTGATCGATTGTGCCCCCGAAACCTTGGAAGACTCTCGCTCAAAACAAAAATCTTTGCCAAGCCCCTGGCTACGCCTCAGCATTTGAGAGGATTTGAAGCTGCGAATATGAACCCAATAACAAAAAAAGCATACACTGAGAAAAATAATGGCATATTAAAAAAGAAATAAACTTATGTTTCAATTAAATCTTGGAAATTACAGGAAATTCGCTTAAAACCTGTATTTAAAATTTAAAATACAGCACATATTTAATATAAATATAACAAAAAAATATAAATTCAATTTTTAGGAACTTTTTTTTAATCTGTGAATGAAAATATTTCATTTAGATATGAAATATGCAAATTTAAATATAAAATATATTTATTTTAGGGACCTTTTTTATTTAAAAATATTAAATATTATAATTTTTAATACGATATATATCTTATTAGTATCTAAATGTAAGTAAAAAAAAGTTTATTTTCAGAAGAAAACTACAGATATTGTATCTATAACTTTTTTCTATGGCTATAAATACCGAGGGTACTTCGACAGCAAAGAATTGCCACTGATTTTCTGATTTTTTCGACTTTCATTAGGAAAAAAAAAAACAATCGTTTGTTGCCAGGTAACGCCTTATTTTAAATTTATTTATATCTGTTAGAAATACTTTCCTTAATAGGAAAATATGTTTTCAGCTTTTGCTGGGAAATCTATCGAGTGGAGAGCCAGGAACTTGCTTTACAATCTGAGACCCCGAAGACTCATTCGCTTATCATCACAGAATGTATTCGGTATTTTGGAATATCTTTTGTGGATCTACTTGATCGGGCCATAAATTGTTGGCAAGAGGCAGCGGAGCGCAACACAACAGAGAGAAAGACTCGTCGTGTTTGTGGCATGGAAATATCAATAATCAATAATCAATATCAATATTTCGAGGGCGATCCCATCCGAACGAACGAACGAACGGCTTGTATCAATTTCGGGTCTAATGAATGTTTCGTCTGATCTTCGTTTTGATCTCTTCTCTGGTTATTTATTGAATTTATGTTAAGGTTAAATAACAGCGTGAAATTGAAATGAGTTTTAGTTTGAGCAGCAGCAGAGCAGCTGTCTCATTCCGCTACAGATACAGATACAAGCAGCATCTTCCTCTGCTTGAGATTTCGGGGTCGGGCGTTATCTTTTCTTGGACTTATCGCCGACTGAGGAGATGCCTCGTCTCTTCTTGTGGCACAGAAACGAGAAACGAGAATTTTCTGTAAATTGAATGATAAGCACGCACACAGGCCTTCCACATCTGAACGATGATATGTGATGATCGTCGTCGCCGTCGTCCGGCAATCAATTGGGGAATTGAGGCTGAAGGTGATTCGCATTCTGGCCAGCCACTCAATTGAATCCATCTCTCTCCATCAACGCCATAAATCAATTGATATGACACTCGTGCTGCCCTTTTCCCCAATCAAAGGAGATTGGCGTCCATCGAATCGAATCGAATCGAATCGAGAGCCACTCGAGTCGCCGTCAATCTATGTGCTGCTGCAGCAATTGCATTTGGGGCGTCATTTGCGTCACTGAAGGCCTCTTCAATTAATGTTGACTATCAGATACTGTATCTCACACTTGTGTATCTGTCCGTATCCACTGCACGCGTGTGTCTGTATCTGTATTTGTATTTGTATCCGTATCTGATGTCAATGCAAATTGTGTTGCCAAAGGTCAGGTCTTCTGAGTGTTGTTTATTGTGTGGGTTTTTTGCAGGGCTCGTAAAGATTGCAATTTTTAATAATAATTTTATAGATTCTTTTTAATAATTTAAAAATAATAAAACTTAAAAACATAAAACACCTTATACATATTTTTATTTTACTAAATTCAGAAAAACTTTTTTTTATTTTTTTAGTATACAATTACATTTTTTTTAATTAAAAATTTCAAAGTTAAAATTTAATTTTTAAGAAAATTAATAATTTCAGATATAACAATTTAAAATAAAAATGTTTTATACCAAACATTATTTTTTTCGTAATTTTTTTTTAAGTCATAAAATAAAAAATTGTGATTTCTGGTTTTAGGTCATCAAATATCTTACAGATACAGGTACAGATAGATATGATTGCCAACCAATCGCTTAGGGGATCTTTATACCTGTGGAGTCGCTTTCGGGGCACTACTGTATTCCATATCTACTCTAGTCCGACTTTTACTTTCGAGAAGGCGGAGAAACCCAACAAGACCACAGAATATCTACTGTCATGAAAAGCCAACAAACAAATGCAATACAATTAGTGGAAAAGACAGGCAGAAGAGAGAGAGAGATAGAGATAGATAGGACAGCGAAGGAGAGACAAACAGAAAGAAAGAAAACCAAAATGAATTTTGTTTTGTTTTTTTTTTTGTTTTTGTTTGCAGCAAGCAAGCGATCGCTTGGCAACGGCAGCCAAGGCAAGAAGTGGCACCAACTTGCTGAAAAAAAAATGTATATATGTATTTGGCAGCCACAGGAGCACGGGTACGGGCACACACGGATGGATGGACAGGCGTAGCGGATGGACGGATGGTCGGATGGACGGAGGCCTTGTTTATGAATACGCGGGCATTGTCTGAATGTCTGAAATGTGGATGCAGCAGCAGACACACAACCAGGAAGAGGCGGTGGACAGGGTACAGGGAGCTGCGAGAAGGCCAGAAGAAGCAAATATAGATATAGATACTTCTCTCCACACACACACACAGAGAGAGATACAGATGCAGATACAGATACAGATACTGTGCGCACAATGTTTAAAGAGCAGCAACAGGCAAAATATTGACAAATAGATTACAAGTTATTAAGAAAGGGACGGGGCAGGGGCAGGGCAGGGCAAGGGAGCCATCCCACAGATAAAGATTCGTCAAGCAGGCGCGAAAAATGGAAGAAGATTCAAACACCAATATTTGTAGTGGCCTTTAATCCTTTGGTAGCCTGATAAATCCCTTAATGCTTCATTTATAGACTATATATATGTATGTTCTGGAGAATTCCTGTATAAAAACATGCTTCTTCCGCCTCTCACAAAAAAAATGAGTTGGAATATTGTCGCGTGGGGTGCCACCACACAGCAACAACACGTGCAGCAGCGACCGCAGATACAGATACAGAGAGAGAGACGGAATTGAGGCAGGTTCGGGCTGCCGCACACTCATTGCCAATATTTGCCGAACAAATATGGTCGAAATCTATATTTAGACGCTGACGACCAGACCAGACCAGACAAGACCCGATCGATGGATCGATCGCTGATCGTCTTCCCAGGCCCTGGCCTCGAACCGGAGCGTGGCTTCTGTTAACTGGCTTTCTATTGGAACAGTTGCTTTGGTCGACACACACACAGCCCCCGAAAACAAAACCAAAAGTGCGGCTCCCACATTGTGGATTGGATCCATCGATGGATCAGCGCCGAATGCAGGCATTCGAATGTGGGCGATGGCTGAGATCATGGCTTTAGGGCTGCCGAATATCACCGAATTTCATACGGAATCATTGGGGAACTTCCCTGTCGATAAGATCATCAGTAATTACAGCTTTTTGCCAGGAGAAAAACAGTTCAAAATGGACCCAAAGATGGTCTGAATTACATCTTTCTTGGCAGATCATTTCGAATATTGCTGATTCTTTGAGTCTTTGAGTCGACATTTTCGAACCTAAGGGTGGACCCTTGACCGACAAACACAGAGGGCCTTTTATCGTTTAAAAAATGTTTCCAAAAATAATGCCTTCAAATTAAGCCTTTAAAAATATTTTAATCTCATAGAAAAATGTGGAATTTATGACAAACAATTATTTTTCGTATAAAAATCGCAATGATTCACTGTGCTGAGACTTAATTTTATGTTCAATATCTTATCCAAATATATGTCGTATATATTGGGTCTTATGAGAGATTTCTTTGTACAGATTTGCTTAAGCTTTTAGCATAGTTTGCAGAAATCCCAGAATGGATCCCACAAGAGATTGCACATGTACATAAATATCTGTGTGTAAACAAATGTCTAGTGGTCATTAGTTAGCGGCCACGATCGCTATCGAGACTGAACAGAAAACCAGAATGTACGGCTGCTACCTGCAGGGGAACGAGCGCAACCCATTGATAAGGCTAGAGGAAAGATAATAGGAAAGAAGTACTATGACAACAGAAAATTGCATGAGAAAGAGCATATCGCACAGAGCTAATGGCGGTAAGCACACATACATATGTAGGTACTTATGGACTTATCAGACGGGGCAGTCATCGGGTGTTGTAGAGGAGCATCTCGAGTAATTTGGACTCTTTCGATTCGGCAAATTCGGGGAGATAAGCAGAGCCCCGTAGTAGAGGGTAGGTACTCCCAAAAGAGGCGAGACAAAGAGAGAGAGAGAGATGGCAGCGGCTGATTAGCGGCAATCCGTAGCAATGTTTGCGGATACCCAGCACTTGTGGGGTCTCAGGGGTGTACTGTTTTCGACTACCACATGGAAAACCACAGATGTTTGAGAAGTGGTGGAGGTACTCCCCATAATTTCAGATCACAGGGCATCCTCTAGTCGTGATGGTACGCTAAAACCATTGTTGGTGTTTTATCATCAGGTGCGGGCGCATGCGAATCCATGTCAGAGAGTGCCGGGGCAGAGGGAGAGTAGGATGTGACAACGGTGGAAGGAATGTGCGCAGGGCGGTGTAGCGGTAGAGGTGACGGCCGTGGAGAATGCAAAATGCCAGAACGATTAGCCATATTCCCAGTGTCAAAATGCATTGAAAGCGAAAGACGACACAAAAAGGAATACGGCCCAAAAAGGTGCAATGCACGCAAAAAGTAAAAGAGACAGCAACAGAGACGCACACAGGCACGCATACCAGAGAGAGGGAGAGCGCCATCCAAAGACGGGACGGGACAGAGAATGAAAGAGGAGACGGCCAGTCGGCCAGCCCACTCACGTAGAGTTGTGGGCGCTGTCAATTTGAGAGTATGCTTACCGGTAAAGAAGCTCTGTCTGTGGCTATCCTCTCCTCTCCTCTCTGCCCTCTTTGAACTTGAACTTGCCGCTAGAGGCGGCACCAGGTACTAGACAGGACAGTAGCCCTCTGGGCGATCGGATTGTGGGGGCAGGGGCTGCTCCAATTGTTTACCCGCACCGCACACAGGGGCACCACCACCACCACCACCACCACCACTCGCGCACTCACACTCACTCACTGAAACTTCACTTTACTTTACTTTCGCACTTAACTTTACTTCGTTTTGCTCTTTGTGTTGCTGTTGTTGTTGCTGCTGCTGCTATTAAACAATTAAAGCTATATATAATTGGGTTGTCGGAACAACACAACACAAAATAATCAGGGGGGAGAAAAAAAAAGAAATAAGAGTATTTAATTAAGCGCGACCGACGCGGGGGAAAATCTTCTTCTGGTCTTCTTCTGCGACAAACTACGAAACGCCGGCCTGCCTGCAACGGTTCTTATGGGATGGAGAGGGAAAACTACATACGAGAGGCGACTGCGACCGCAACCGCAAAACGGCGATCGCGACTATGACTGCGACTGCGACGGCGACTACGTACGAATTAATAATGACCGTTTCGGTTTCGGTTTCTTTCGGCCGGCGCGGAGCGGCGCGGCGGCGCAGCGACTGAGATAGGCAACGACTGCGACTGCGACTGCGGCTGCGTCAGTGACGACAACACGACAACGACAAAAACGACGGGCCACGGCGCGGCGCAGCGACTCCGAGTGCGAACTCGAACTGAAGCCCGAAACGGCAAAGCAAAAGTAACGAAACGAAGCGCAGACAAAACGAAGAACCGAGACAGAGCAGCAGCAGCAGCAGCAGCGGCAGTGCGATAATAGCAGCAACAACATGTGAGCGAAACGAGCCTCAAAGGGCGAAGTTTTTGATACCCTTGCAGAGATCCATTGCCACATAGTACAAGTAATTATGCTATCTATGATGTGATTCTAATTGTAAAAGACTGCTCCCGGCATGTCTTGTGGAATCGAAGATGCAGGCCAAACATCTCCCGGTAATAGTATTACCTTCTGGAAGGATATCAAATCAGCCAGGCAGCATTACGGGATAAGTACGAACCGATTGCCGCACTGTGGTTCCAAAGTTATGAAGTACACAAGTGAAAATCTGTTGAAAGTGAAATGTTCTGAGAAGATTTTTCTAGGCAGAGGTAACTCAGTAAAGTATTCGGCAGAAATTGATCAATACGATACTATACCTTCTAAGATTTCGATGTTCATTAACAATACTAGAAGAAGCTCTTCGTTGACCTGACCATACAGTAGTTACATGGAAATAGGCGGCACTACCTTACAGATTTCAAAACTGTTTTCAGATACTTTCAGTCTTCCAAATGGAGTACTTCTACTAGAATGAGATGTAAGTATGAGAAAAAGCTTCCTACTTCTTGTTTTTTTATGACTTTAGACAAGTACTCACCCCTGGAATCTGTTATAATCGGTGGAAACAGAGGGCCTACCTAAGGATACTCTTTGTTAGAATGTAGATGTCTGTAGGCATCTCCCACCAATCCATAGATCCGAATTACGATTGTTGTTTCCATAGGAAGAAGAGGCCGGCGGAAGCTGTTATTTGCCTTCATCAATATCTATTGTATGTGTCTGGCCGGTACTCTGAATACTGGGATGCAGTGCCCAAAATCCAAGATCCAAGTGCCTAGTGGCGGCCCTTCCCATAGAAAGTTCGTTAGGCGTAATAAACAAGTCACGTCGGAAACCAGATTTGTTTTGATTTTCCTCTCTTTTTCTTGCATTTCGTGGGTTTCTGTTTTTTTTTTTTTTTTTTTTTTTGTGGATTACGCACGTTTACTGGGTCAGTGCGTCGGGTCAGGCCCAGGCAGCCCCTGCCCAATTGCCACCGATTTTGGGGGGTCAGCACTTCAGGCCGTACGCCGATAACTGTTGACACTTTGCACTGACATATTTGTGGGTTGATGCAACGTGTTCGGCTTTCTGGCATTGACCTCAATAATACTTTTTATTAGCTTCGAATGCGGAAGGTTATCGATGATTGTATTGAAATTAAATGTACCAAAAATGATCTACAGAATATTTTGAACGCGAAGGTAACCCAACCATTTGAGACTTTTGGAACTACTTTGGGACATTTCAGGGGTTATGCTAGACAAAATATTTATGTTGGTTGGTTCTTTGATGTCTTAATAATTTTCCTATAATACATAACGTCTCACTGGGAGAGAGCGAGAGCGAGAGCGAGAAATGGTGCTCCCTCTAACCGCTTAGGAATACCAGGGCCACAGTCCATTACCGATTTTGGATAACCGATTCGCGGATCACCCTGTTTTGGTCTGTTCCCCAAGGCGTATTTGAATAAGGTGAGGCGGTCATTCCCGCTCAAACTTTTGCTTTTCCAGCTGATCGTTCCAGGGCTCCTCTTACCCGGGTCTTGCCTTTGTATCGTGTCGTCGATCTCATTCGCAAATTATCTTTGTTTTTGCGAAATTGTAATTGTTCTTTCCATGCACAATTCCAGCGACAATTCCAATATAAAAAAACCACCAACAACAGCAACAATAAGAGCTTTTGTTGCTGTAACCGTTAATGGCTTTTCTGTTTACTTTTTACTCGTCCCCGAAAGCGGGGCGTGTTCTCTTTTTATTGTGCTGAATACCCTGTAGTGCTAGAAAGGTATGCCCTCATTCAACAGTGGAGAGAATTCCACACTAATCTGCTGTCGGGATGAGGATCTCTCTCTGGCACTTTCTCTTGCTGTCAACCCAAATCGGAGAAAATTTGCGATACAGTTCTCTTATTATATGAGAATTATCCTATTTGATCCAATTAAAGCCAATCGGAATGTTTTGCGTCGCGGCACACGTTCCTCAACATCAAGATATCCGATTCTTAGTCGCCATCTATGAAGAAAAGTAAAGAAAGTTTTAGCCAATGTTAGAAGGTTAGTAGTTTTACAAGTACAGGCTTTCTGGCTCAGTTTGAGTCAAAAATAAAAACTAAACCCAATTCCATGAAGAATTACGATTCCACTTCCATTTGATATCAAAGTACAGGCATAATGGGTATCTTTTGGTCGTATTCCTCGACATTTATACGCCTTTGATACGTACTTGTTTCTGGTCTGTGTCCCAGTAGCAATCCATTGAACTATGCTGAGACTCTGAGACTCATTCTGAATCCGATTCTGGGCCGTTTGTGTGGGTTTCTGTCATTAAATAGTTTGCGTTTTTATTGTTTGTTGGGTTTTTTGGTTTTTGTTTTTATGCTTTGTGTTTCTTAACAATAAAACATGGGAATAACAAATGAAACGCACAAAAAAAAAACAGCGCCAGGCCGTAACAAAAAAACTCTTCAATTAGCAGTTTTTGTGGTCGCTGAATGAGCCCCCCTCACCAGCCATCTCAGCAGCTATGTTACAGGGTAGCAGATGCTGAGTCTGGGCTCAAAAGTTGATGGTCCAGGAGTCGATCAGAATACGGAGTGTACAGAGAAAAGTGACAAGGAAAAAGGAAAACACGCTTATTTTTTAAATAAAATATTCGGTTTTTAAACAAAAACAGGGGGATATTAAAATTTCACATTAAAATAAATTCAATATAAAAACAAATAATAGATTAAATAAACAAATATATTTCATATTTAAATAAAATATATTTCATTAAATTACAAAATTAAATTAAATTAATTTAAATTTAAATTAAATTAAATATATTTCATATAAATCATTAAAAGACTATGAAAGAATTTTGGGACATAGCGAAGTGAAGGAGTATTGAGCTGAAGCGTTAGACGTTGCGTATCGTGCGGAAGCGCCCCTCGGCTGGTTGAACGCTGGCGCTGGATCAAGCTAAAGGGTAGCTGAAATAGGTATAAATATAAATTAATAAATATATGTCTATTAAAATGGGCTATTTGGTGCCGAATATACGCCTAAAGATGAGTAGAGATACATCTGCAGTGACTTGCGATATAAAAGAGCTCTACAGTAAGGCTATCCAGGGTATCCATCCGTTCACCCACTTTTGAAGCGTCTTTGGCTGAAATTGTAAATCCCTCCGAGCAAGTGCCTCATTACGTGGTATGCGGTATGCGGAGAGGTCATGTGAACCATTTGGAGGCAATTGCACAAGTGCAAGGGACAGAGTAGTCAACAATGGAACCTCCACAGCGGCTACAGATACCCACGAACACCTGAGCAACCATTAAGGTGCCCAACCATCCAACCATCCATCCATCCATCCATCCATCCATCCAGCATCAAGACGGGCCGTCGTTCCAGGTCAAGCTCCAGCATCCAGTTTGATGCTAATGGAATTTTAACGTCATCCCCATCCAACCACCATCCACTCCATCATCCACCATTCCACCAACCGAGAGCCACCGAAAGCACCCATTCTTCAGCCCAGAAATAATGCGAACGTGTGGCGCATGTTGCTAATGTGTCCCTTATTAGCGGACGTAGACATTCCCATCCCTCATCCGCCGTCCACCAATCCCATCCCCCAAGTCGTTCGGACTCGACTCCCGACGCTAAGCCTCCTCCCGTACAGCTCGTACAAGGGGGGCCAGGCTAATCCACTGGAAACATCATTTTGAGCACCTGTTTAATTGCGTTAATCACCCAGAGCAAACGTTATTGCCATCGCCATCAGATGCGGCAATGATTATGACGGCAGTCCGCGGGGTCCTGGAGCATTTTGAACTTTCGACCTCGCCTCAGCCCCCGGCCCCGCCCCCACTGGCCGTTTAATGTTAATCTTTATGGACATTTACAGGAAACAGTTGGCTACAAGTACATATCTGTGTAACACAGGCTAACGGTCCTTAGTGACCTTTAACTATCCCGAGGGGGTCCTACCTTTCAAGACTTTTGCAATTTTAGAGGTACACTCTTGGGAGTCTAGTATTTTGTAGGGAAAATCATCCGATATCCGATAAAATCAGGCAGAATTTTCACATTCTGGTCGAGCGATAGAGGCGAAGGAAGGCCACATTTTGCGAATAGTTAGTTAGAGATGAAATGATAAATATATAGTAAACAAATTCAATTTGAATTGTGAGCACTAAATATTAGTAATTTAAATGCTTGAATGTTGATAATTGCCGTCCTAATTTATTTTTATGTAATATGCCTGTCGGATATGCTTGGATTCATACAAAATACAGCGAGCCGAAACGTTTACATACCCGATACTCAGTCAGTTTGCTACCTCGCTCCCACCCGCCAGACGGCGCACACTGCACGAGGAAGAGTGTGTGAGAGAGAGAGAGAGAGAGAGAGAGAGAGAGAAGTGAGCGCGTGGGTAACCATTCCTTCTCGCTATAATAATGATCCGATCTAATCCAGTTTCGGCAATCTGCAAGATCTTGTCATTTTCTCTGATTATAAATTTTCGGTTTTATCGTAGCTTAATCCTTCGGAAGGGGACTGGGCTCTATTCGAGTCAGCCCTCCCTGAGAACTAGGCGTCAGGCAAGAGGGAGAGACCCACATGGCTATATCAACACGACTATTGATGCTGATCGAGAATGTATAACCTACTTTATGGGTTCGGCAAGGCTTTCTTCTAGTCACTTCCAGGCCACATCTAATATACCCCTCTATAATCTTCGAGTATGCAGACAGACCTGAAGCCTAATACCTGGGTATACGCATACGTTGTTGCCCGGAAAGAGGGCCTACAAATAAAAGCTACAAGATCTGAAATGAAGAGCGAAACTTCGGACCGCGGCCCATACTAGTAAACCGTCCTTTGGTTTTCAATGCAAGAAACACCTTTAGATAGATGTAAGATACTCATGTATCCATGTTACGTTTGACATACACATATTTTTCCGGACATTCGACACCAGCTCCGATTCTCACTTCAGTACATTTCGAACGTTCCCTCTCGTCTGAGCTCCTGTGAACGTTCCGGTGCCTGAAGCGAAACCTACGACTGGAACTCCTTTGTGGATACGGGGGCCGATTTCAAGATGCACTTCAAGCTACTCTTGTTGGGCGACTCAGGCGTGGGCAAGACCAGCCTGCTGCAGCGCTTCATGGGCGGACGCTTCACGGCCAAGTACCACAGCTCCGTGGGCGTGGAGCTGGGGATGCACTACATTGAGGTGGCCGGCGAGGTTGTGCAGCTGCTTATCTGGGATGCCTCCGGGGAGAAGCGCTTCCGTCCGCTGCTGCCCACCTACTACCGGGAGGTGCACGGCATTCTGCTGGTCTACGACGCCACAAATCCATCCAGCTTCAAGAGCTTGCCGAGCTGGCTGGACGAGATCGAAACGTTCGGCAAGCAGGACGTGAGCATTGTCCTCGTGGGCAACAAGTGCGAAGACCTGGAGAGCCGCAAGATCAGCCAATTGGAGGGAGTAACCTTTGCCGACGGCAAGGGACTCGCCTTCTGTGAGGCCTCCGCCAGAAGCGGCGTCAATGTTGACCAAATCTTTGCCACTCTGTCGCTGAAGATACATGAAATCTACAAGGCCCAATGCCCTGACACCTACACGGTTCACCTGAAGCCAGGCCCGGTGCAGGTCCTCCAGGACACTGGCAGTATCCGCCTGGCTGGTTCGGCGGGCCCAAAGAACACCAACAAAGGCGGCTGCTGTTGGTGAAAACCCAATCAAATATCCTTGCTTTGCGTTGCTTGTATTTCCACTACACATCGTTTTTCTGCATCCAATTAAATTCGAATTACAGTTGATCCTGCGCTTAGCGCCAGCGCAGGACAATCATCCCTTCAATCACACATCATATGGCCATTGTCCTAGCTCCCAATTTGTGGGGGCTTACTTTGATGTCCTCGTGGATGTCCATAAAAGTGGGCCGCACCGCCCACATGACGGGGGCGGCAGGGCGGCGGGAAAACTATCATTAAACGAACAGCAACTATTTTCGAACTATTTTATTACCATAACCAGAGTTAGGGTGTCCCAACAAGGTGGGACAGGGTGGCTATCAAAAATTGTTGTTAGTTCCTAGAGCTAGGGTGTCCCAAAAACAATTGTTTATAAACAACAGACACAGAACAAAAATACAGAATTAAAAAAAAAAATTCTTTAGAAATACATACATACATATACATAAATAATTTAATAAAATATATTAAAGAGTATTCTTTCGAAAAATGAAATTGAATCAAAATCGTCTTATTTATAGCCTACTCCTTAAGAACTCAATTTATGTATATGTATATATGATTATTCGATGGTTTGTACAACTAAGCTTTATTATTGCTCGCTTTTTGAAATTTTTGGATATAAACTATATAAATATCTGATTCCGTTTGAGCTAAAAGTAAAGATATCGCTTTAATCTTTTTACAGATAATCGAAGTTTTTTAAAGTACACCATAAGCGGATTATGGTCGGAGATGGAGTACGAACATCTTATAAATAAATATTACTTTTGATAACTTATAGACTTCATAGAAAGTATAACTCATAGATACATTGCTATCCATCGAAGATGGATGTACGAACATCTTATAAACAAATATTACTTTTGATAACTTATAGACTTCATAGAAAGTATAACTCATAGATACATTGCTATCCATCGAAGATGGATGTACGAACATCTTATAAATAAATATTACTTTTGATAACTTATAGACTTCATAGAAAGTATAACTCATAGATACATTGCCATCCATCGAAGATGGATGTACGAACATCTTATAAACAAATATTACTTTTGATAACTTATAGACTTCATAGAAAGTATAACTCATAGATACATTGCCATCCATCGAAGATGGATGTACGAACATCTTATAAACAAATATTACTTTTGATAACATATAGAATTCATAGAAAATATAACTCATAGATACATTGCTATCCATCGAAGATGGATGTACGAACATCTTATAAATAAATATTACTTTTGATAACTTATAGACTTCATAGAAAATAGAACTCATAGATACATTGCTATCCATCGAAGATGGATGTACGAACATCTTATAAATAAATATTACTTTTGATAACTTATAGACTTCATAGAAAATATAACTCATAGATACATTGCTATCCATCGAATATGGATGTACGAACATCTTATAAATAAATATTACTTTTGATAACTTATAGACTTCATAGAAAATATAACTCATAGATACATTGCTATCCATCGAAGATGGATGTACGAACATCTTATAAATAAATATTACTTTTGATAACTTATAGACTTCATAGAAAATATAACTCATAGATACATTGTATAAATAACCAAAAATTATATGAATACGATGGTAAACGGTGTAACTGTGGCTCTCACTATCTCTCTGTAGCAATAACTTAAACATGATGAATATTTTATTTGCTGGATTCTCTTCTGGCTTTCGCCTCTTTCGATGCCTGCGCGTGTTTGGCAAACATAGTGGACAGCCTTTGTATCAGCTTTGCCTGGCTTTCAGGACTGAACTCGGCAACGGCATAGGACCAGTTCTTGAGCGTCAGACGGGGACTGCAGCTGGTTAGTGAGATTTCGGGCATGAAGTGTTTAGACAACTGCACGTCCATGGGGGGTGGTTCGGCCAGTGTCTGGTTGAGCTGCTGGGGCGTTCGCACCAACAGCTGACCGACACTGACGGGCTGTGTCGCTGGCTTCACCTCCTTGTAGATCTCATTCATGTGGCGATAATAGTTCTGCCCCATCTGGCACTGCTTCTGTGGATCAGCGATTTTCAGGATAAGCGATTCGCGTAGCGCGTGCTGCATGCTCAAGCGGCAATCAGTCACTGCAAAGGTTGAAGAGGGGGATGGCGCATGTAGTATATGTAGTTTGACATTTTGTGGGGTCTCAATTGCGCTTACATACCTGTGGCATTCAGTTCTGTGGAGACTTGCATCCAGGCAGTGCGCTTCTCGAAGGTGCTGACTCGGCGGTAGGTGTTGGGATATCGCCGCAGAGTACTGGTCACCTCAAAGGCTGATATCATCGGCAGCTTTCGCTCCGTTGTACGTTTCAATTTTGGGGAAGCATGGAATGCCGTGGCCAACTGCTGCTGCCCATTGATTTTAACATCAGGCATTGTCGTGTCGTCAAATCCTTTGGGAGCTTCAAAAGTCGGACGGGTACGAAGATGCGACCGAGGTGAACCAGGAGACGCAGGATTTTTGGGCAAGACTGTGTCCACTCTCAGTTTACCCGTCAGCAAACGCTTGGCCTCTTCGGTGTCCCAGGGCAATGTCTCCCAGTCAATGCGCACCTGACTGCCCGAAAACTTGGTCTTCCAGCGCTGTGCTATCATCTTTTCATAAATACTGCAACGCTTCACCTCCTCCCTGATCTTGTTGTGGATTATATAGTAGTACGGCTCCAGCGGATGATAGCGCACATTCACAAGGAATCTGAGCTGATCGAAAGCCGTCCACCACAGGCGTGGCCATGGATTCTCAATGCCTCTCTCCAGGTCGTCCATGTAACTGCGAAAGGCATACTTGAATGTGGACCAGACTTCCTGATGATTGACTGAAGGGCACAAATATGTTATTTTCCTCAAAGAATAGAGAGGGGCACAGAAAAGCCCACTTACTCTGGGGAAACCTTGTCTTTGCCACCCGCCATACATCGTCGCGCTCCTCTTGGGTGTATTCGGGTGGCGGTTGAGGCGTCTCGCCGGGCCGCGGCCTACGCATGTCCCAGTACAGGTGCTCGTACATGCGGAAGTGCATCATGAGTAGGGGCAGCTGGTCCTTGACCTTACTCCATTCATTCTTGCGGGCAACCTCTTCGAATTTTCTAAATAGGCGATCGGATTTCTCCCAATTCTTGTGGTAGCCTTTGTGCGGGCCCATCAGTTCCGGCATGGGCGCGATCACCGGGAACAGGCTGATGTTTTCGCTCAGGAATTTCCAAATGGCGCGACAGGCATCGGCTAGAAAAATGATAAATGAAAAGTGCCGTGAGTGCATGGACTCAAAGGTCAAAAGGTCAAAAGGTATACCTGGCATGTAGAATTTCCTGGCCACACTGCCCCAAAATTCGGATTTCTTGTTCGCCAACTTCGGATGGCTGCTGTGCAGGATCGGTATTCCCATCACCTCTCGAATGAGTGTGCCCACACGCGCCATATTCATCGTGTAGCGGGTGGTCAGGGCCCCGCCATAGATACGCAGCAAGTGGCCATCTACCGAATCCTCCACAAATTCCACTTTAATGTTGCTGATGATTTGCATTTGCAGGCGGGTGTTTGCTATTGCCGGCAATTGCACATCACCCGACTCCGATGCGGATTCCGTTTCGTTGTCGCTGGCCGAGGATTGGCTGCCAATACTATCGATGCTGCTGCTGCCATTGCCACTGGTCGACGGTCGCTTTCTTTTCAAGGCTCCGCTTGAAGCTGCTGTTTCTTTTTTTGGACTAATCGATGTCGTCGCTGTCAGGGTACCTGTACTTTTTCCATTTTTTGGTGGACCGGCAACATCAGCCGGATTTGTTAATGGCAAGCTAATGGCAGCAGGAGGAGGAGCAGCAGCAGGAGAAGCAGGAGCAGGAGCAGGGGAAGCAGGAGGAGTAGGAGCAGGTCCAGGTCGTATCCCATATCCGGGTGCTTGAGACGGCTTCGGCCGACTGCGACGAACCACAAGTACTTTGGACCCTGGACTCCCATCCTGTACAGCCGGTGCACTCCTTGGTGGCATCTTAATCGACGGAATGGACACCCTCGTTTCCGAAACGTTCACGCACTTCAAGCCACCATTCCCGGTGCTTGGGGGGCAGGAAGTGCTCACTGAACTTGTGGCTATAGAGGCTGTGGGTATTGTGGTGGTGCTGGTGCTGGTGATGGGGCTGCTGCTGCTGCTGCTGACTGAGCTGATGCTTAGGTTTGTAGGGGTTTTAGTGGTGGTGGTGGTGGTGGTGGTGGTTGTGGTGGTGGTGGTGGTGGTATTGGTGGTGTTGGTGGTGGTGGTGCTGCTGCTGCTGCTGCTGCCACTGGAGCCAATGGTTTGGGTGGGAGTATGAAAGACAGCTTTTACAGCAGCGGACGGATAGACAATAGCCAGCGGCATACGTGGTGCTGGCTTTTGTGTTTTTTGTGTATCGTCCGTCATACTGTCCAGCAGGGCCACAGTGGCCATGGGCGATCGCATATTCGGATCGCGGCCAATGTTCTTCTTCTGGCCCTCGCGGTTCACGGCGCGGTCCACAACCATCCTGTATATCGTGGTGATGGTACTCTCGAAGAACCATTTATCCTGCAGCTTATAGCCGGCCAGCCGCATCTCAACCAGTTCGCTGTGAAAGGAGCGCAACACCAGCCAGGTGATCTCACAGCGTTGGGGTGTGCTCATCACCTGGGTAGCGGCCTTCTGCCAGAGCTCGTGATATGCCAACGGCTTTGCCTTGTGGTGCAGATACTCATCGGTGAGCTGGACCAGCTCTGGATTGCTCTTCAGCATATTGATCAGAGACATCACACTGCGAAACTGTTCGATGGGATCGTGCCAGGCGGTTGCCAGGTACTGAGAAGTCTTGTACACCGAATCTTTCATCTGGGGCATGTGCGGTATTAAGAAAATCATCAATTTCATCAGCTCGGAGGCCTCATCAGGACTCTGGTTCACCTCCCACTCGTAGCGCGTCTGCAGCACGAGCCAGGATTTCATCAGTTTGGTGGCCTTTTCCCGCAGCTCATTGGATATGGCGCCCCAGATGAGGCCGCGATGGCGGTAATCGTTGTAGCTGGAATGGGCCGTATCGTACAGTTGGGGATAGGCCTTTACGGCACGGATTAGCTGACGCATATCGCGCGTAATCCGGAAACTGTCTCCGTCCAGATCCAAATCGATAATGGCCACTGGCTGTGTGGTATCCACCGGCAAAACGGCGCACTCTGTCTCTGGAGCGCTGACAGACTCCGCTACGCTCTGCTCCCGCTGCAACGGATCGCTGGCCACGTGCGGGTACAGGAACAGCATCTCCTCCTCGTGCAACATAAAGGGGCGGCTGCCGGGCGGACGACGCTGGACAATTTTCCGCTTATAGTTGTACATGTCACGCTTATGGCACTGGAATTTGAAGCGCAGCTCGGTCCACATATCAACGCAGTCTTCCACCTCCATGGATAGGCGTCTGGCAATGCTACGCCACACATCATTCTTGAATTCTCTGTCCTGGAAGCGCGGACTCTTGCTATCATAGAGGACTCGTCGTTTGCGCACCGCCTTGATCAGCTGTCGCTGCTGCAAAAATCTGTCTAGTCGTTTTCTGCTATCTTTGGGGCTACTAGTGTCACAAGTGGTAATGGTGTCCCTGGACGACGAGGTACCAGCTGCCGTGACTGTCGCGTTAGTGGTGGGGTCGATGGTGATGCAGCTAACTTCCACGCAGCTGCCATCTGGACTCGAGTCGAGACTCATCACATAGTCATACCCCGTCAGATCGGCAAATTCGTCTCCTGCAAGAGACGGAAGAGTGGCTTTAATAGCTGCTTGCTAACTAACCGTTTTCATTGCGTTTACCGTCCATACTGAGAATATTATCCTGTTCCTCTTCCGGTTTCAAATCGATGCGATCGCTTGTCCCAAGCACTGGCTGGTTCATCGCTCCTCGCGTCCGACGCTTGGGAATAGCCGCAGATCCCTTTGGCATTTTAGCCCGAACCCGAACCCGTCTCGATGGCGCATTGGCTGTCGCTGTCAAGGGCATGGTCCAAAGACGGAGACGTGTTTTGGCAGCAGCATTTCAACACTAACGAAATCTCTTTCTAAAAGGTGTATAGTCGGTCAGAATTGAATTCATTAATTTTGATCTAAGCGAATTTCCATCAACGGAACAACAACAATCGCCCATCGCTAGCATTGAAATTTCTCGCTTGGGGCATGCACAGCAGAACAATATACATATATCGATATATGTACATAAATTAATCGATCTGCTACTTATTCAAGCGGTCTGGCAGCACCGCTTGGCAGAAAAACATCTGCTTCAGTCACCTGCTTCTGCGCTACATTTCAATGCAATCCAGTTATTTCAAGAGTTAGTTATTATTTCAAGAGAGATGGATTAATTAGTTGAATCGAAATTCAATTTAATAAAAACTAAACTAAGTTCGATTTTTTTTGTATATCTATTTTGTGGGGTTCCGGGGCTGGATTCTTAGTCGATCTGGGTGGCAGCGCAGCAGCAGAGAAACGATATTATTGGAATCAGCTGTTCCTGTTGGTGACCCAACACACCACAAACACTAGCACAAATTTATCGTTGTTGCGAACTTGATTTCTGGTCAAGGTTTAAAAAAAGCTTGGGCCAGAAATTGAAGAACCGGACAAGTCATATCGGTATAAGCCAAAAATCCAGCATGTATTAAGATTAAGGGGCATTCTATTTTTACGCTTAAAGCTTCGATCGTATCAGGGATGATGCAGGGACAATGACAGTAAGTCGGAAAAATTGTATCTAAAAGGGGAACAATTTATAATCTCTGCCGCATCGCTGCTCCCAGCTGAACTGGAAAGAAATGCTGAGGCATATGTTTCTCTAGTTCTCACTGCATGATTTACCGATAAGGCTGCTACTGTTCTTTCAGCTAGTAAGTTAGCAAAGTCTAATGAGAGAAGGGCATTAAAACCGGATCCAACCTTGGGCCGGATTCTTGGGACCTTTCCGTTTTCGGACCGAAAGTTAATTCTTCTCTGCAGCTCGACAAAGACTGTGTATATTGTTGTTGAATTCTGGGACGGACTTAACATTGTCCGAAGCATCGACGAACAATGGAGTCGCGGTTGCTTTAGTATACCCGTTACTCGAAAAGTGTAGGGATATATTCGATTTTTGGTGAAAGTCGATCTGTGTAACGTCCAGAAGGAAGCGTTTCCGATCCCATAAAGTATATACATATATTCTTGATCAGCATAAGTAACCGAGTCGAGAAAAGCAAAAACGCAGAATCATAGAGAATGACCATATATACCAGATTGACAAGTCTGGATCAGATCGGATCATTATTATAGCCAGACGGAACAAATTAAATTGCAGTGGCGACGCCACCCCCTTCCACGTGCTCAATCATTCCCTCTTATTCACACTCACGCTCTTCTTCGTGCAGTGTGCGAGATCTGGCGGAAGGGAGCGAGATAAAAAGGGTGGTGTTGGCGAATTGAAAAAGGCAAATACAAAAAAACGAGTGGGAACGATGTGAGTTGCTGCTGCGACCGCAACTCTACATTTATACCCGATACATAGTCAGTATGGCTCTCTTCCGCCAGACAGCGCTTTGACGACACGACAAAGAGTGCGTGCGAGAGAGACAGAAAATCAGTCAGAACGTTTCATCGGTCGCTGCGTAGCCACTGCAAATTGATTTGTCCCTTTTGGTTACAATAACAATGACAATGTGGTCATTCTCTATGATTGTGCATTTTTAATTTTCCCGTATCTTCAAATTTGTAGATGCCACAGATTTTCGTCTTTTGCGGGGGCAGAAGGGGGTGGGCCGAAATTTTAAAATACACTTGTGCTGGTTCGATATCACAGGAGTGGGGATACCAAATTTAGTTACACTAGCTTTTATAGGCTCTGAGATCTAGGCGCTCACTTTTAGCGATAGGCAAAGCCGACCATGAAACTTGTGTGTTAGAAAGAGACAGAGCGAGAGAAAATGAAATTGTGTTCTTCATTCTGGCTATAATAATGATACGGGCAGGTCCAGACTCTGAAGTCTAGAAGAAATAGTCGTTCTCTACGATTCTGCGTTTTTGGTTTTTTCGTATCTTTAAAATTGTGGATGCCACAGATTTTCTTCTTTTGTGGGGGCGGAAGGGGGCGGGGTGAAGTTTTGAAATAAACTTGTGCAAGTTCGATATCACAGAAGTCTGGATACAAAATGTCGTTGCTCTAGCTCTTCTAGTCTTTGAAAACTAGGCGCTCATAGGGAAGGACAGACGGACGGAGAGAAATGGCTCTATCGACTCGGCTATTGATGCTGATCAAGAATATATATACTTTATGGGGTCGGAAACGCTTCCTTCTTGACGTTACATCCATTTTCACCACTTTATACTTTTTCGTTTTTTATTAATCAGCCCTTTCTTCATCTTTCTTTTTCCGGCAAGACGCATGCCGTAGTCCCAGTATAAAGAGCCTATTAATGTTTGGGACTAGACTAGTAGTGTGATTTTTAGCACTGATGCGATTTAGTATGCGAAACCGCATGGAAATCAAAAACAGCTGATGGACATCCATGTTTATATGCATGTATGTGTGTACGTACACATGTACATTCGGAATTTGTTAAATCGCAAAAGGGAAAGGAAAATAAAAAAAATTCTTGACACATATGAAACTAATATTCAACACTTGGAAGGTGTAGGTCTGGGAGAAATGCGAGAAAAACCGATAAGTATAGATAGGCCTTGTAGGATCGGTTGCAAATGCCAAATGGGCTGGGCATGCATATGCCTGTATGTTCTGTTTATAAGCACTTACATTATTAATGAGCCAGCGAATATCTTTTCTGGTAACCACAAGATAGCCCGAACAAAAGAAAATATAACTTAGTTTTAATTGAACGAGAGCATTATTGTAAAATTGAGCTCGAGGTAAACGACGCGTCTCCTGCTGCACACAACCACAATATTAAACAGTTGTTTCCGTCAACCGTCTGGCAATCTTTCCGATTTATTTTTACTAATTTCGTACACTTAATCGTTCAAGTGTTGGAAAATATCGACTTGGATTTGTTAAGTAATTTTATTTCAATTGCAATTTTATTTATTTACACTTTTCTTGCACGTCTTACAACCACTTTTTAGATTAAAATCAAGAAATAAGGGAATCTAAGCGATAGTCGTTTCGTTTGTGGATATCGCCCTTTTGAATTTCTTAACGCGTTTTCTAGCTAAGTGGCAGCCTTAAAAAAACATTGAACGCCTCAAACGCTTTGAAATGCTTTTTGGTGATGAAGAGTTGGAGAAAAAGTTGATTGGGTGATGTAAGGTATCTTGTTTTAAAATGGTTTTTCTTTTTGAGTCAAAATTCAGATATTCGCAAAAACCATATTTTTCTAGTGATGTGGCAGCCCATACATAATCAATTTGTTGAATCCGATAGCATTTATAGTTGAATCGAGCATTTAGTGGATTCAATTCAATGAAATATAAGAGTAATCTCTTAGCTGCTTATGAAAATTGAATATTTTTTCCGTTCTCTATATGATTTGTAGTTTTCCTTTGCATGAATAAAAATGTATTATCTTTTCAGCGATGTGGCAGCTCCTCCAAAAACAGCTGTTTTTTCCTCGCTTCTATTTCTGTTCCTCCTATTTTCATAACGCGCAGTGAAAGAACAAAGCTCAGGATAAATGAATAGAAGCCATTAATTTGTGTAGAATGATGTGGACAAGCGTCAACTGCCTCTGGCGTAGTGTAGGGCGCCAGGCACCACGACTCCTGTACCGTAACGTACGCACATCCGTGATTTTGCCGGCGAAAATCTTCGCAGACAAGGAGAATCAGTTCGCCCACAGTATTCTGGCAGAGTCTCTGAAACCCTATCATATCCTAAGGCCCACCGACATCCCCTTGGAGGAGGCCACCACGGATGGCTATCTGGAGCCGAACAGGAACCTCAGTCCCGACGCTCTGCACGCGAACTTCCTGGCCCTCGTCCAGCATTGTGCGGGGACGGACACGCAGATCAGTGAACCACAGTTCGATGCGTTCGCCCGCGTATACTGCGAGCAGATGCACCATCTGTCCGACGACCAGCTGCTGGGCACACTGCGGGCCTTGGGCCAGCTGCCGACACCTGAATCGACCAAGACAAGAAACTACATGGAGTTGTGGAACACACTGGATATCGAGTGCTGTCGAAGGATCGAGCGTTGGCCCACCGGGCAGCTGCTGCTGGTGAGTGATGCCTGGTACCAGCTTGGTCTGGCCAGGATCGGGGAGTACGTGTGGCTGGCCCTCAAGAAACTGGGCCGCAAGGTGCGAAAGCTGCCGCCGGAGCAGCTGGTTCAGTCCATGTTCCTCTGCAATCTGCTGCGGCGCCCCGTCTTCGAGATGTTCGACTTTGAGATGAATCTGGCCCGCTGTATCGATCAGATGACGCTCCAGGAGCTGGGCGTCATGGCCATGGGCTTCTTTAAGACCCAGACGCAGATTCGAAATCCCGAGCTGATCGACCAGCTCTTCGCTAGACTAACCAGAGAGCTGGACACCGTGGAGGACATCACCCTGGTGTCCCTGTTAAAAGTTCTGCGCTACAGCAGCAAGCTGCCGCAGGTGGAGCCGCTGATCCGGCTGCTTCGCGCCCTGGAGCCGCAGGTGGAGCGCGTCTCTCTGCTGGCATGCCTCCACATGGCTCTGCTCGGCTGCGAGCTGCAGACCTGCGATGACCGGCTCATCGAACGCATCCTCCAGCGTTTCGAGAAGGAGCTGGACCAGGCCCGCCTGAAGGACATGGAGCGCATAGGTCTGGTCATGGCCCTGTTCAACGTGGAGAGTGAGTCCGGTGTGGAGAGGCGCCTGGCCGAGCGGCTGCCCGATCTGATGCGCCAACGCCTGGACGAGATCATGCGGTACCCACGCTGCTTCAGCAACTGCCTCCAGTTCCTCACCATGCGGGGTGTCTACGATGTGGAGCTGCTCGGAGTGGCCCTCGAGCCACGCTTTCTTCAACATGCCTACCGCGGCGCCCTGCCCGGTCGGGAGTACTTCCACCTCGATGGATGTGCCCGCCTGCTGGGCGGAGATGTGTACAAGGGCTCCCTACTCACCGAAAAGCAGCTCCAACAGATGGGAAAGCTCTACACGCAGTACATACCCGATCGGGAGGGACGCTTTAAGCTGAACAAGACCGATCGCATTCTGGTGGACATCCGGGACGCGGCTTCCGATCTCTACCGGCACCTCAGCTTCAAGCACATCCTGCCCCAGTACGAGCGCTGTGATCTGGTCCTCTGCTATGACCGCCGTCAGCAGCGGGCACTCCCCATCGCTGCGGACTGTCCGCAGGACTACAGCGGTGTGATCCTCACCAGGCGGCATCTGCTCGGTGCTGACAGCTGGCACGATGAGCATCTGGCCACCGTGATCGTGGTGGTGGCCGGCTGGAACAATGTGATACGGGACAAGGACCGGCATACGGGACAGCTGGCAATGAAGCTGAAACAGCTCAAGCAATTGGGCCACCAGCCGGTGGTGGTGAGTGGCTCTAACATAAGTTCCAAAAAGTCCCTACGAAGCAGCCATACAGATACCGGGATTCTACGGAATCGCGAATTTAGTCTTCCCAATCCGATGCAAGGCCAACAGGTGGCCAATAGTGCCACGATGTCGCATAACTGGGCAAACATGACCGAATATCACAAAAAATCGCACCCCTAAGCACTGCAAGCCCCGCAGAAAAAGGTGCAGTGCAGTCACTCGTTCTCTGACAGGACATGGGTATCCGATGGGTAGCCCCTACAATGATTTTTTTTTCCTTAGCCGTAGCGGAGAGGAGAAGGGCTTACCCTTGATCCTGACCTTCCCATCGATCCCCCTCCCCCCTTTACCTATCACTAACCTAAGATCTGAAGTGAAGATTATATTTCTGCTGTGAGCAACATATATTTTGATGTATCTGTTGCACATGTTTGGTACAATCGAATTGATCTTATATTTTCTATATACTATGTACATGTTCTTCCATCAATCCTTAATCTACATATACCATATAATACCCATTGGCTTTCCGTAGATCTATTGGCACGAATGGCGTGAACTGGAGACATCCGCGGATCGTCAGGACTTCCTCAAGCGTCGTCTACGCCAGGCGGCCAGAATCTAAGACCAGGAGCAGATTGGCAACCCATACAGCAGAAAATCAACATCGATTGCAACAGCATGGATATATAGTCAGTCATATGATATCTGAATAATGTACACAGACAGGCCACTAATATCTAAAAATTATCTAACTAAACGAAACAAAAAAATATGCGTGACAGAGTTATGGCAGAGTTGTTGAATGATGACGACGACGACGACGACGACGAAGACCGCCCGCGGCCCCACGCGTCACTAGAGGGTGCCATGTAGCGCTCGCTTGGTGTACTCGTAGACGACGAAGAGCGTGGCCGTGGCCGGTATGGTGCGGAGAACGGAGGGCAGCAGGCCGCGATAGAGTGCGAGAACGCCCTCGCGTTGTACAATCTCACGACCGACGGCGTACATGCTGGCGTTAAGGTTCTTCACCTGGATGCGGCTCTTGATCACGTCGGCGGGAAACGTGGAGGTCCACAGGCAGACGCCGCCAATGGCCCCGGCCACCATAGTGCGCAATGGTCCGATCTCGTCCTTGGTTTGATTGTTCCTGCAGAGAGACAAAAATTAATATGATGGTTGCTGGTTGCCGGTATCGTTTCGCTGGTCTCTTACCTGCGCAGAAATTCTCTGGTGCCCTCGTAGCTGCCAAAGAAGAAGAAATAACCGGGCATCTCACGCATGAATGTCGAGCTCAAGCCGCGATAGAAGCCGCGCAAGCCTGTGTGCGCGCGTGGAGGAGATTAAAACCAATTAATGGATTGTGCGTGGAAAATAACTGATGAAATGGAAGACTGGCAGCAGAGAGGGAAAGGAAACAGATTGGCACGTGAGAAGGCCATTCCGTTCGTTCACTATTTGTGGAAATTACTACGTTACATGGCCGCGATAAGGACGGAGCATCAATCAACAGTCAAACCGAATCGTTGCATGCGACCCCCCGCCCCAAAATCCCTCTATTGATCTGTCAGCTGCCAGCAGGAAGGGAGAGCGGATGATTCAGTAACTTTCCACTTGACAACTGATTGGGGCGGGGCGGGGCGCTCTCAACTATTTGTATTATCCACAAACTTCCCCTATCTTCCTCTCGCTTGCTCTTGTGCTACGTCATTATGCGTGGCATGTTCCCCCTGTTGCCCCGACCGCGCCAACAAGGCTGAGAATATTCTTATCAAATATCAAGTAATTCATAATTCGCTGTATACAAAAGCTGCGTAGTAAATATTATTCGATCTTTCGCCTTTCCTTTTTGTTTAAAAAAAATTATTAAGAAAACAACAAACAACCCATTCAGCTTCGATTAGATTGAAGCGATATGGAAGCTTTAATCTACCATTAATATACTCTAATAAGATTCTACAAACTGTACAGAGAAGGGCTTTCGCTTCCAGTTTTATAGATTTAATTCCGAAGACAGGTCGGTTGGAAGGTTAGGGAGTTTATAAACAGCTTTCACTACCATTCTATCCGTTTTGTAATCATTTTATAAGATGTGTATGTCATCTGAGAACCTATTTTATATACATATGTCTTGGGAACATTTTGTCTCCATTTGGAAAAACTCTCTTAAAGGCGGAAATATAACTTTTTGGATACAGTGTGCTCTTGTGCCCCAAATGGAATTACTAGCATTATTTTTAGAGGAATTTCAAATATTGCGAACGTGAAGAAAAATTTTGAAAAACAAACCGCCAAAGAGATTTGTCTGGCAACGCCAGAGCGATCGCGTGGAGCCATGTGGAGGGGAGTGTCGTGTCGGGTTTGTTGTCCAAATCGGACATCACATTGCGATGCGATAATTCTGAATTATGGAGAGGAATTGCTTGATTGTTGAAAAGCCACGCTAAGATAATCTAATCGGGGGAACTGAACTCGAGTGTCGCCGCGGGACAACAGCAACAGCAAAAAGACGTTTGGCTATACGTGGGGGCTGGCCCCAGCACTCACCTTCCGTGCGCCAGATGTACCGCGTGAGGGACCAGGGCGTACGCATATCCTGCGGATGACTGGGCTCAATATAGTGCTTCATTTCGCGCAGGGCCTGGAGCTTGCATTTGATCAGCTCCGTGGGGCAGAGGGTGAGCGTGGAGAAGCAGGCGGCCAGGGAGCCGGCACAGGCATTTTGGGTGGTCGTCAGCTGGCTGGTTGTCTCCTTATTGACCATGAAAGCGACAAACTTCTGGCATCCTCCGTAGGCGGCAAAGAGAACCGAATTCTCGGCCACATTGGCCACCACGGCGGGCAGGGAGCCCGCATAGAGGCCCCGGAATATACCATCCTTTCGATACGTGCTCACGAAACAGTCGAACATTCCTTTGTAGGCCTCCGGGAAGGTCTGCAGCTTCACCTTGACAGTGTCCAGCGGCTGCGAGACGTACACCTGTGCGGCCCCGCCTAAGAGATCAAGGGGAGTTGATATTGGTCCCATGGTGTCGGCAGAGCTGTGTGTATACGCACCCAAAGAGCCCGCCAGGAAGTCGATGAGCCCCTCCACAAAGTTGATGTTGTTCCCGGTTCCGCCTCCATGCATGTCGAGGCGCCGTACAAGTCTTAGGAATTTGCCGAATATGAATAGGAGGCCGTCACGCACGGCTTCGAGCGTCGAGAGTGGACTGAGCTTCCGGACGCGGCCGCGTCGCTGCGATTCACGACGCTCGTTCTCGCTCTGCTGGCTCTCCTCCTCGGCCTCGGCCTCCAGCACCGCCTGCTCGTATGCCTCGAGCAGTTCATCGGGGGCCCCTATCAGCACGGAGCTGCCCACTCGGCTGGAGCCGACTCGCGGCCGTGTCAGCGTTGACGCTGGTTGCTCATCATCGTTCTTGGGGGCAGGCTTTGGCTCTCGCGGTGCTTGTCTCTTCAGGAATTTCTCTTCGGGTGTCGGGGGTAGGAGCGGTGTTGGTGGCTCCGTTGGATCTTCTCTCTTACCGATTTGCCTTGACCCCCTGCCCGCGTAAAATGTTTCGGGCTGTGGTTTCTCTTCGGGTCTTGTGCTCTTCTTGTCTGACATGACAGTGCTCTTAGTCTGCTGCTGGATGTTGCTTTCTTCTCTCTTTATTGCTGTTTACTGAAATTCGTCATCATCAAACGATCGGCTGCTCTTCCGATCGTTATCGTTCGTGTCCGGTCTGTGGCTGTTGCTGTTGGTGTTGGTGTTGGTGTTGTGTGGGTCTGTTGCTTATTCTCTTTGTCTGTTATTGAACGCGCTCTGATAACTTCGAGCTTTCTGTTATGTCTTCTTTTCCAGCGATTGCTGTTTTGTTCGCTTTTTCAGCGGTATTTGTTATGTCTGCTTCTTCAGAGGTAGCTGTTATTTTCGCGTTTCCAGCGGTAGCTGTTATATCTGCTTTTACAGCGGGGGCTGTTAAATATGCCTTTGCAGCGGGTGTTGCTATATCTGCTTTTACAGCGGCCGTTGTTATATCTGCTTTTACAGCGGACGCTGTTATGGCGGCGTTTACAGTGGGGACTGTTATGCCCGTTTTTACAGCGGAGGCTGTTATATCTTCGTTTACAGTGGGATCTGTTATGTCGGCTTTTACACAGGTAGCTGCTATGTCCGCGTTTCCAGTGGTGACTGCTGTGTTAGCTGTTTCTATTTCTGTTACTTCCACTGTTCCAGGCACTGTTAACTCCAACGTTTCAGGCGTCACTGTTGGTCGCTGTGTCTCAGCAAATTGTTCCAAATTCTTAGAAGTTTCCAATCGACTTATTTCAGCTGCTACTAAGTTCGAGTTTTTAAACAAATTTAAATTTAGCTTTGCTTTAGCACAACCTTCCGACCAATCAATTGGATGCTTTGGATACTGGCCAACTGATGCGTTCAGGTAGCGGTTCAGTAGCGAATCCGATGCTTTTGCAACCACCGCTTCTTCTTCAGTTATGTTCTGTTCTTGTTGATCAAAATGGCTTGCAGCTAATTTCAATGACGCTAGTTGGGCGCTGCCACACGGACTTGACGGGGTACTGCTGTCGGTTACGGGTGCTAGGGGCTGCTCTTCTGGTGCCACAATACTCCGGAACCGTAGGGCGGTGGTTAGCTTAGCTTTAGCACAACCTTCCGACCAATCAATTGGATGCTTTGGATACTGGTCAACTGATGCGTTCAGGTAGCGGGCCAGTAGCGAATTCGCTGCTTTTGTAGCTTCTGCTTCTGCTTCTTCTTCAGTCAACTGTTCCTCGGCCTCGGCCGCAGGAGCTTGTCGATCGAATGTGCTTGCAGTCAATTTCAATGGTTGTATGGGCTCGTTACCAGACGCTGTGCTGGACTTTTTGTCATATGGAGAGGTGAACAATGGATTCAGGGTTCGCAGCAGTGGCCGCGGGGCACGAGGTCCTGGCTTGGGTGCGGCTGGTGGCCGACCAAAAATCTTTGCGATATTGGAACGTACCTTTTTCGATGCCAAACCAGTCACAATCGCCGTCACGCCCACAATGCCCACTAGGCCCACAACGCCCTCCGTTAGTGTGTCCTCGCGTGTGTGTCTTTCGTTGGGATCCCAAACTTTCTGCTTTCGATTGTACTCGTACTCGAAATCCTTATTCATTTTTGGGAACCGAAAATTTTGTTTTGAAATAATATGCGCACTTATATTTGTATGTGTCTGCTACGATGCCAAAAAGGTGTCTAGAAAAACTGCCTTCTGTCAGAATACAATTGTTATCGATTGAAATGCCTTTCAATGTACGTTTTTTGTTGTTTTTTTTTTTATTATTTATAATCGATATTTTGATTACGCCATATGTATATATATGTCTGTGTATATTCCAATTCCTACTCCAATTCCTGCTACAGCCATTGAGCCAATTCCTCTGCCCTTGGACCGAGATCTCTTTTAGGAGTGGCTCCACCATCTCGATCTCGATCGGGACTTAAACTTAGAGCAGTGGTCCCTCGGAAAGCAATATTTGTTTCTCGTCTTATTCCTGAGGCTACAACGGAGGATGTTAAACAACATCTTTCCTCTAAACTTAATACTTCGCCTGTTGATATAGTTGTGACTAAATTTACATTTAAACATAAGCGCAACATATTATCCTTTAAAATTCTTCTCCCTGTTGATTCCCAATTGCCATAATGACTTTATCAATGGGCTAACGGATATTTCCCTTGTCCAAATTAATGACGTTAAAAACATTAGGGACAGACTTCTTGACGTCGTTTTTGTTAACGATGGTTCTCTTGCTACGGTATCTAGAGCAAGCCCAATAACTCTCCCTGAAGATCCTTACCATCCAACTTTGTTGATATCACTGGAGTGTACACAATCTGGAGGTGCTGACAGTTCCATGGCTCCTTGTCACATAAAGTGTTTTCGCAAAACAAACTTTATCGATTTTGATCTACATAGATGCAACTGTTAACTCGTTTTATAGTTCTATTTACTCCGCCCTTAATACGTTTGTTCCAGATCTCACTGTACCTGTATCGTCCAAGCCTCCCTGGTTCTCCAAGTATATGTCATACTTAAAAAATAATAAATCCCGGCTCTATAAAAAGTACCAGAAGTCGGGCTCCACGTTGCCCTTAGCTCTATACTCCTCCGCTCGCTCTCTGTTCCTTGCCGTCAATAGTCAGTGTTATAATCATTACCTTTCACAATGTAGTAGTTACTTTCGTAGTGATCCTAAAAAATTCTATTCGTTCGTTAACTCTAAGCGCAAGTCAAACGTTTTTCCTCCGTCCTTTCATTACCAGAACAAAACAGAAGCTTCTGCTGTTGGTATTGCAAATTTATTCGCTAACTTTTTCCAAACAACGTACTCGTCTCATATTTACAACGCATCCACTCCGTATCCGTACCAGCTACCTCAAGCTAACAGCATTTTTCTGCCCTTTTTCGAGGAAAGCGTTGTTCTGGAAGGTTTGTCATCTATGGACATATCGTTTTCTGCGGGTCCAGATAAGGTACCAAGTTGCATCTTAAAACACTGTGCCCAGTCCCTTTGCAAACCCTTGACCTTTCTCTTCAACCTCTCCTTGGAACAGTCTTGTCTCCCAGTAATTTGGAATGAGTCCTATATCATTCCGCTTCACAAAAAAGGTTCAAGATCAAACATTGAAAACTATCGTGGTATCGCAAAGCTTTCCGCCATCCCGAAGCTTCTTGAGTTCCTGGTCACCCGGCAACTGCAACATCTTTGTTGCAGCTTGATATCTCCGTCGCAACACGGTTTTTTCAGACATCGTTCAACATCGACTAACCTTCTTGAGTTTTCTAACCTAATCCACCGTGGTTTTCAAATTGGTTTGCAGACGGATGTAGTTTTTACGGACTTCTGCAAGGCATTCGATTCTGTGAACCATGCTCTGCTTATTCACAAGCTTTCTTTATTAGGGTTCCCAACGAATCTTCTAGATTGGATTTTGTCCTATCTCTCTAACCGTACTCAACGTGTTTTGTTTTCTAACGTGTTGTCAAATACTGTTAATGTTACTTCAGGTGTGCCACAGGGAAGTCATCTGGGCCCGCTTCTGTTTATTTTATTTGTGAATGACCTTCCTCAAGTTATAACATACTCTACTACACTAATGTATGCTGATGATGTAAAAATCTGTCTTTCTTACTCTGATTGGTATTTGCACACACGCCTTCAACTTGATCTAAGTGAACTACTATTGTGGTGTTCAACTAATCTTCTTTTTCTGAACCTTTCCAAATGCAAACTTATGACATTTTACCGTCGCGCTCCTCATTTTGTCCCATATGTTCTAGGAAATCATTTCCTTGAGCGAATTTCGAGTTCAAATGACCTCGGAGTCCTTTTTGATCATAAGATGTGTTTTAACACCCATATAGCTGCAACTGTAAATAAAGCTAAGGGTGTTTTAGCGTTCATCAAGCGTTGGTCCAAGGAGTTTGACGACCCGTACGTTACGAAACAACTGTACATCTCGTTGGTACGTCCTATATTGGAGTATTGTTCTTGTGTGTGGAGCGCGCAGTATAAAGAGCAGCAGGCTGTTATTGAATCCGTGCAAAAGCAATTTTTATACCCGATACTCAAAATGAGTTTTGGGGTATATTAGATTTGTGGTGAAAGTGGATGTGTGTAACGTCCAGAAGGAATCGTTTCCGACCCCATAAAGTATATATATTCTTGATCAGCATCAATAGCCGAGTCGATTGAGCCCTGTCTGTCTGTCCGTCCGTCCGTCTGTCCGTCTGTCCGTCTGTCCGTCCCCTTCAGCGCCTAGTGCTCAAAGACTATAAGAGCTAGAGCAACGATGTTTCGGATCCAGACTTCTGTGATATGTCACTGCTACAAAAATATTTCAAAACTTAGCCTCGCCCACTTTCGCCCCCACAAAAGGCGAAAATCTGTGGCATCCACAATTTCGACGATACGAGAAAACTAAAAACGCAGAATCGTAGAAAATGACTATATCTTACAGAGTGCAAAATCTGAACCAGATCGTATAATTATTATAGCCAGAATCACGAAAACAATTTCACTCTTTCTCGCTCTGTCTCACTCTAACACACAGGTTTCATGGTTGGTTTTGCCAATTGCAAAATATGAGTTCAAGGATCTCAGAACCCATAAGAGCTAGAGCAACCAAATTTCGTATACACACTCCTGTGATATCGGACCTTGACCGTTTTGTGTCAAAATTTCGCCGCACCCCCTTCCGCCCCCGCAAAGGTCGAAAATCTGGGGCAACCACAAATCTCAGAGACTATTAAGGCTAGAGTAACCAAATTTGGTATCCGCACTCCTGTTAGATCTCACTATAAAACGTATATCTCAGAACTTCGCCCCACCCCCTTCCGCCCCCACAAAGGACGAGAATCTGTTGCATCCACAATATTTCAGATTCGAGAAAACTAAGAACGCAGAATCATAGAGAATGACCATATCTATCAGATTGCTGAATCTGGATCAGATCAGATAATTTTTATAGCCAACAGGAACAAATCAATTTGCACTGGCTACGCAGCGCCCGACGTCACGCTCAGACTGATTTTCTGTCTCTCTCGCACGCACTCTTTGTCGTGTCGTTTAATATTAGCGGCGTCTGCCGGAGGAGAGCCATACTGACTTAGTATCGGGTATAACCGTAGAGTTGCGGTGTCCGCAGCAACTCACAACATTCCCCCTCGTTATTATTAATAATCGATAATTTGATTACGCCATATGTATATATATGTATGTATGTATATATATTACTCGTTAGGTTTTCGAGACGCCAATTCACTGCAGGCTTCCTTTTCATATGGGTTTCATTCGCTTTTTCCACTTTCGGTTTATATTTACCATACATACTATATTTATATATATTTATAATATTTATTTTATGCTTCCTATACAACTATACATATTTGTGTGTGTGTTTTGTGTGTGTGTTAAAATCAGATTTGGGAAACACACACAATTCTAAACAGATCTAAACACTTAAAAAGATTGGCACGCTTTGAAATCGGAGCTCGAACGGATGATGGGCATGGAGATCTTCGGAGGAGAATATGGAATATATGGAGGAACTAAAGTTATTGTTGCGCTTCAAATTGAACTACGTGAAATGGAGCTCCCACTCCCACTCCCGCTTCCGCTTCCGCTCCTACAGATCCCTTCTAGGTATTGCACTCTTGTCACGGCCCCAGGATATAGTCATAGTCTACCCGTCCCCTCCCTCACGCCCCTAGTAGTAGGCGGGGAACGGGTGATAGTTAGACGGATTCGAGGCATGATGATTGGCCGACGGCAGCACAGGCGGCGGTCGTACGCCCGGATGGTAGTTGCTCGATGCCACCTGGTGGTAGGCCCCAAAGCTGCGGGCCATGTGCCGATTCTGGGCCACTGCCGCCGCCGACTCGCCCAGGAGGCGGGACTGGTCTGCTGTGCCCAGCAGGCGATTGTTCTGTTCCATCAGCAGATGGGCGGTGGGGTCGACCAGCAGGCGGTGCTGGTCGGCGGCATTTGAGGCGGCCAGAATTCGGTGCTGCTCCACCGTAGAGAGCAGGCGGTGATGCTCGAGACTGTCGCGGCTCTGGTGCTGCATCTGCGAGGAGAGGAACGACCGATTGTTGCCCACGGCCATGTTGGCCGTGTTCGGTGTGAGGTCCAGCGAGGCCATTCGCAGCATGTCGTGATGCGGATGGTTGTAGGGCAGCTGTGGCGGCGACGACACCACATAGTTGGCCGTGCGGCTCAGGTCCACGGAGGTGGTCTGGTCGTGCTCCTGCTCGCCCAGCTGCTCGCTCAGCATGTTGTGCATGGCCGCCGCCGACTGGTGTTGCTGCATGGCCAGCTGGCTGCCGTGTCCGTGCTCCTGCTGGTGCACCACCGATGCACCCTTTGCCTGCTGTGCCTGCGCCTGGGCCTGGGCCTGCGCCTGCTGGCTCTGCTCCCCGTCCGACAGAATGTCGTAGATGTGGTGATGGTAGCGACTGCTTGGCAGCTGGAAGTTGTGGTGATAGTTGCTCGACGCATTCGATCTCGAGCTCATGTCCAGGCCCTGCAGATCGGACAGATCGTTGGCCGCACTCGCCGCCGCGGCAGCAGCCGCCGCCGCACTCGCCGCACTCGCCACATTGCTGTTGCTGCTCTGGCGATACTCCGCCGGCGAGTCGAGCTCCTGGCTGTTGTACTTCAGGTTGCTCGCCATGCTCTCGTACGTGGAGTACATGAGATCGATCTACGACTGGGGGAACTTCATGCGCATATCCTGGCCCGCGCTGCTCGAAATAACAAACAGAATGAACGTTCCATTGGCGGTAAAAGTAGCGAGTAACGAGGGAAAAATGCAATGAAAAATAAGAGTTGGTGAAGCGATAAATGCTGACATACAAAAATGTTCTGTACCTGTTCTGCGGCATGATGCTGTTCTCCTCGTCGCTGGACATTTGATTGTGATGCGAGAGGTTGTGCCGCTGGCGTTGCTCGTGCTGGTCCTGCTCCTGCACCGCCCGGAGAGATGGGCGGCGGCGAGGGCGGCGTGCGATGGTGCGACGAAGAGAAGCCATCGGAGTCGGGATGCTGCGGTTGGGGTGTGCTGCCCGCATCCACGTCCACATCGTTCTGGTTCTGGTTGCTCTGCGGATTGGTTGGCGTCGAGGCGCTGGGCGAGATGTTGCAGGCTCCCTGGAACATCGGAAGTGAATTCTGAAATATGGAGAGGAATTGCTTGATTGCTGAAAAGCCACGCTAAGATAATCTAATCGGGGGAACTGAACTCGAGTGTCGCCGCGGGACAACAGCAACAGCAAAAAGACGTTTGGCTATACGTGGGAGCTGGCCCCAGCACTCACCTTCCGTGCGCCAGATGTACCGCGTGAGGGACCAGGGCGTACGCATATCCTGCGGATGACTGGGCTCAATATAGTGCTTCATTTCGCGCAGGGCCTGGAGCTTGCATTTGATCAGCTCCGTGGGGCAGAGGGTGAGGGTGGAGAAGCAGGCGGCCAGGGAGCCGGCACAGGCATTTTGGGTGGTCGTCAGCTGGCTGGTTGTCTCCTTATTGACCATGAAAGCGACAAACTTCTGGCATCCTCCGTAGGCGGCAAAGAGAACCGAATTCTCGGCCACATTGGCCACCACGGCGGGCAGGGAGCCCGCATAGAGGCCCCGGAATATACCATCCTTTCGATACGTGCTCACGAAACAGTCGAACATTCCTTTGTAGGCCTCCGGGAAGGTCTGCAGCTTCACCTTGACAGTGTCCAGCGGCTGCGAGACGTACACCTGTGCGGCCCCGCCTAAGAGATCAAGGGGAGTTGATATTGGTCCCATGGTGTCGGCAGAGCTGTGTGTATACGCACCCAAAGAGCCCGCCAGGAAGTCGATGAGCCCCTCCACAAAGTTGATGTTGTTCCCGGTTCCGCCTCCATGCATGTCGAGGCGCCGTACGAGTCTTAGGAATTTGCCGAATATGAATAGGAGGCCGTCACGCACGGCTTCGAGCGTCGAGAGTGGACTGAGCTTCCGACGCTCGTTCTCGCTCTGCTGGCTCTCCTCCTCGGCCTCGGCCTCCAGCACCGCCTGCTCGTATGCCTCGAGCAGTTCATCGGGGGCCCCTATCAGCACGGAGCTGCCCACTCGGCTGGAGCCGACTCGCGGCCGTGTCAGCGTTGACGCTGGTTGCTCATCATCGTTCTTGGGGGCAGGCTTTGGCTCTCGCGGTGCTTGTCTCTTCAGGAATTTCTCTTCGGGTGTCGGGGGTAGGAGCGGTGTTGGTGGCTCCGTTGGATCTTCTCTCTTACCGATTTGCCTTGACCCCCTGCCCGCGTAAAATGTTTCGGGCTGTGGTTTCTCTTCGGGTCTTGTGCTCTTCTTGTCTGACATGACAGTGCTCTTAGTCTGCTGCTGGATGTTGCTTTCTTCTCTCTTTATTGCTGTTTACTGAAATTCGTCATCATCAAACGATCGGCTGCTCTTCCGATCGTTATCGTTCGTGTCCGGTCTGTGGCTGTTGCTGTTGGTGTTGGTGTTGGTGTTGTGTGGGTCTGTTGCTTATTCTCTTTGTCTGTTATTGAACGCGCTCTGATAACTTCGAGCTTTCTGTTATGTCTTCTTTTCCAGCGATTGCTGTTTTGTTCGCTTTTTCAGCGGTATTTGTTATGTCTGCTTCTTCAGAGGTAGCTGTTATTTTCGCGTTTCCGCCGGTAGCTGTTATATCTGCTTTTACAGCGGGGGCTGTTAAATCTGCCTTTGCAGCGGGTGTTGCTATATCTGCTTTTACAGCGGCCGTTGTTATATCTGCTTTTACAGCGGACGCTGTTATGGCGGCGTTTACAGTGGGGACTGTTATGCCCGTTTTTACAGCGGAGGCTGTTATATCTTCGTTTACAGTGGGATCTGTTATGTCGGCTTTTACACAGGTAGCTGCTATGTCCGCGTTTCCAGTGGTGACTGCTGTGTTAGCTGTTTCTATTTCTGTTACTTCCACTGTTCCAGGCACTGTTAACTCCAACGTTTCAGGCGTCACTGTTGGTCGCTGTGTCTCAGCAAATTGTTCCAAATTCTTAGAAGTTTCCAATCGACTTATTTCAGCTGCTACTAAGTTCGAGTTTTTAAACAAATTTACAACTTGTGTCGTGGGCAAGGGGATACTACTTTCGGGCACTGGCAGTGGGGCTTGCTCTGCTTCAATACTCCCGAGCCGTAATGCGGTGGTTAGCTTAGCTTTAGCACAACCTTCCGACCAATCAATTGGATGCTTTGGATACTGGCCAACTGATGCGTTCAGGTAGCGGGCCAGTAGCGAATTCGCTGCTTTTGTAGCTTCTGCTTCTGCTTCTGCTTCTTCTTCAGTCAACTGTTCCTCGGCCTCGGCCGCAGGAGCTTGTCGATCGAATGTGCTTGCAGTCAATTTCAATGGTTGTATGGGCTCGTTACCAGACGCTGTGCTGGACTTTTTGTCATATGGAGAGGTGAACAATGGATTCAGGGTTCGCAGCAGTGGCCGCGGGGCACGAGGTCCTGGCTTGGGTGCGGCTGGTGGCCGACCAAAAATCTTTGCGATATTGGAACGTACCTTTTTCGATGCCAAACCAGTCACAATCGCCGTCACGCCCACAATGCCCACTAGGCCCACAACGCCCTCCGTTAGTGTGTCCTCGCGTGTGTGTCTTTCGTTGGGATCCCAAACTTTCTGCTTTCGATTGTACTCGTACTCGAAATCCTTATTCATTTTTGGGAACCGAAAATTTTGTTTTGAAATAATATGCGCACTTATATTTGTATGTGTCTGCTACGATGCCAAAAAGGTGTCTAGAAAAACTGCCTTCTGTCAGAATACAATTGTTATCGATTGAAATGCCTTTCAATGTACGTTTTTTGTTGTTTTTTTTTTTATTATTTATAATCGATATTTTGATTACGCCATATGTATATATATGTCTGTGTATATTCCAATTCCTACTCCAATTCCTGCTACAGCCATTGAGCCAATTCCTCTGCCCTTGGACCGAGATCTCTTTTAGGAGTGGCTCCACCATCTCGATCTCGATCGGGACTTAAACTTAGAGCAGTGGTCCCTCGGAAAGCAATATTTGTTTCTCGTCTTATTCCTGAGGCTACAACGGAGGATGTTAAACAACATCTTTCCTCTAAACTTAATACTTCGCCTGTTGATATAGTTGTGACTAAATTTACATTTAAACATAAGCGCAACATATTATCCTTTAAAATTCTTCTCCCTGTTGATTCCCAATTGCCATAATGACTTTATCAATGGGCTAACGGATATTTCCCTTGTCCAAATTAATGACGTTAAAAACATTAGGGACAGACTTCTTGACGTCGTTTTTGTTAACGATGGTTCTCTTGCTACGGTATCTAGAGCAAGCCCAATAACTCTCCCTGAAGATCCTTACCATCCAACTTTGTTGATATCACTGGAGTGTACACAATCTGGAGGTGCTGACAGTTCCATGGCTCCTTGTCACATAAAGTGTTTTCGCAAAACAAACTTTATCGATTTTGATCTACATAGATTCAACTGTTAACTCGTTTTATAGTTCTATTTACTCCGCCCTTAATACGTTTGTTCCAGATCTCACTGTACCTGTATCGTCCAAGCCTCCCTGGTTCTCCAAGTATATGTCATACTTAAAAAATAATAAATCCCGGCTCTATAAAAAGTACCAGAAGTCGGGCTCCACGTTGCCCTTAGCTCTATACTCCTCCGCTCGCTCTCTGTTCCTTGCCGTCAATAGTCAGTGTTATAATCATTACCTTTCACAATGTAGTAGTTACTTTCGTAGTGATCCTAAAAAATTCTATTCGTTCGTTAACTCTAAGCGCAAGTCAAACGTTTTTCCTCCGTCCTTTCATTACCAGAACAAAACAGAAGCTTCTGCTGTTGGTATTGCAAATTTATTCGCTAACTTTTTCCAAACAACGTACTCGTCTCATATTTACAACGCATCCACTCCGTATCCGTACCAGCTACCTCAAGCTAACAGCATTTTTCTGCCCTTTTTCGAGGAAAGCGTTGTTCTGGAAGGTTTGTCATCTATGGACATATCGTTTTCTGCGGGTCCAGATAAGGTACCAAGTTGCATCTTAAAACACTGTGCCCAGTCCCTTTGCAAACCCTTGACCTTTCTCTTCAACCTCTCCTTGGAACAGTCTTGTCTCTTAGTAATTTGGAATGAGTCCTATATCATTCCGCTTCACAAAAAAGGTTCAAGATCAAACATTGAAAACTATCGTGGTACCGCAAAGCTTTCCGCCATCCCGAAGCTTCTTGAGTTCCTGGTCACCCGGCAACTGCAACATCTTTGTTGCAGCTTGATATCTCCGTCGCAACACGGTTTTTTCAGACATCGTTCAACATCGACTAACCTTCTTGAGTTTTCTAACCTAATCCACCGTGGTTTTCAAATTGGTTTGCAGACGGATGTAGTTTTTACGGACTTCTGCAAGGCATTCGATTCTGTGAACCATGCTCTGCTTATTCACAAGCTTTCTTTATTAGGGTTCCCAACGAATCTTCTAGATTGGATTTTGTCCTATCTCTCTAACCGTACTCAACGTGTTTTGTTTTCTAACGTGTTGTCAAATACTGTTAATGTTACTTCAGGTGTGCCACAGGGAAGTCATCTGGGCCCGCTTCTGTTTATTTTATTTGTGAATGACCTTCCTCAAGTTATAACATACTCTACTACACTAATGTATGCTGATGATGTAAAAATCTGTCTTTCTTACTCTGATTGGTATTTGCACACACGCCTTCAACTTGATCTAAGTGAACTACTATTGTGGTGTTCAACTAATCTTCTTTTTCTGAACCTTTCCAAATGCAAACTTATGACATTTTACCGTCGCGCTCCTCATTTTGTCCCATATGTTCTAGGAAATCAAATCCTTGAGCGAATTTCGAGTTCAAATGACCTCGGAGTCCTTTTTGATCATAAGATGTGTTTTA